TGTGAGAGATCTGCAATGCGAGGAGCGGCGCGATGGCGGCGTCTTTTCCCCAGAGTGAACTAGGTTCGGGTGTGCGTCTTGTATGGGTGGGTGCGTGGGCTTAGAGGACGCAAGGGACATTTGGGAAGCAGGAACGAGATCTAGGAAGGAACCGCCGTAGGTAGCTAATTTGGCAATTGGTTCCTGGAGGGACTGACAAGGTGGCTATTTTGCTAGCTAGCTGTCTTTGCAGGAGTTTGAGTTTTGGTGTCAGGGATTCATTCCCCCCACCCTCCTTTCACTTTGTTTCTCTTGTTGATGTTACAGGTATAGGTTAGATTGTTTCCGTTTGTGTTCGTCTTTTTGCTGGTTTTGTTTCCTTTATTCCTGAACCGGTGTGTTAAGTTTCAGTTTCTTTGAAGTAATGTAGTTTCTTTTTCGGCCCAAAAAAAAAACCATAATTACGCATCACATGGCGTTATACTTAGAACATATGGAGTTGTAAAAGCCTGTATAATAATTTCGTATGGACATCTAAAATGCTCCAAGAAGGAAACGAACGAACGGGTATGGATGATTTGTGTGTATGTAAAATACTGACTGGTTGTAAAGGTGAAATTAAATAAAACAAAACGAGGGAAGGGCAGAGATATTTTAGGGTCTCTCTCTCTCTCTCTCTCTCTCGCATGTGAAACCTTCCCCTGCTAAATCCTTAGCAGAAAGAAAAGCAAGAAAAAGGGTTTACCTCCGGGTGATTTTACAAAGAAAATCCAACATAAACCCACCGTGATCGCCGAAATAAACACAATCGCTAATCCGATTACTGCGTAGTTTGGAGAGGTGGAGGGAATCGGCGGCGACTCTGTGTAGGCCGGAGGCACTTGCTGACTGTGAAGGAGAATGAGGTGATCTGAAGCGGTGAGTACCGCAAGAACAAGGCACCGCAGCTGCCAAGGATACATGTTGGAATGGCCGAGCAATAATGGAGCTATACTCTGCTTAGTATACTTAGTGGGTTGCCCTTTTTACGTGGCCGACATCGAGCAATAACGGAGCAATAACGGAGCTGTATTCATTTTCACTCTGGATAAAAGAAGCCATCAGACTTGACTTTTCCTACGCTCGTAACAAATTATTTACATGTACGGAGCATCATCATCATGCATGTATCCGGAAAGATCTCATGAACTAACATTTCTTGTCCGGCGAGGCTCTCCACTAGTGGAATCCCATTTGAACACTATGCGTGGGCAAACATTTTATCAGCATTGCGGCTGCAAACTCTGCGGGAAATCCTTGCATTATCAGTACTTCATATTTTCTTCTTTCTTTTGAAGACTTCTCTAGGTTCCCAGTTTCTTGTCTTTTTTTTTTTTCGCTGCTTTTTTTAGCCTGTTAAACCTCCTTTATTTTAATTTTAATTTTATTTTTCCTTTTCATAAAAAAAAGAGTTAAAAAAGCCATCAAAATTAGATCTTCCCCAGCTTTTGGTTTTGTAAGAGGAGGTGTCCATGCCTGCCAACCGCTGCCAAAGCCGTCTCCCACTTTGATTTTTGAGCAACACCTGATGCAGCACCATCAAAATATTTTAAATAAAAAGCTGCACTGTTTCTGCACCCTTGGCCTTGGGAAGTGAAATTGAAAAGCAACCTTCAGGCCGAAAAAAAGAAACTGCAAAACAACCAAAACATGTAGCTGTTGCAGTGAAATGATTTTTTAAAAAAACGTAAGAAAACAAGAAAGAAAAATAATACTCTTCCAATTATTATTATAAAATTCATTTAATTAATTTGATTAGACTAAAAAAATTAGATAAGTTAATTAATTATAAGAAATATGACATATTTTTTATAAAACACCATAATCATTTTTTTTAATATCCCCTCTCTCTTTATACTTGATTATGATTAAGGGAATATCTATCAGGATAATTTAGAGAAAATTGATAAATATGAAAAATAGATCTTATATTTAGAATCAAGATTAATTTAATAATTAGATCCTTATATTAAGAACTGGAAGAGTATTATAATAATATTATATTAAAAGTGCACAGTAGTTGAGAGTTGCGACCGATACATATTACTCCCTCCGTTTGGTATTATAAACTTTAAATAATTAGTTAAGTTTTGTTAAAAATAATAAATAAGTTAAAAATATAGTTTTGTTTTCAAATATGTTCTTGTAATAATTAAAAAAAAAGAAAATATACGGAGAAACGAAATAAGAGAGTATAGCAAAAGAGAGAAAATAAGTAATTAAGGACAAAATTCAAAACATGTATTAAATGTTTAGATAAACTTCAAATTTAAGCTTATAAAATAGACCACATCACCCTTCAAATTTAAAACTTATAAATAAGACCGGAAGGAGTATTATATATGAGCTTGTTTATTTTTATTCTCAAGTTATGTATTAAAAATTTTAAAAATTATAAAATTTTATAATATAATCAAAAACAATAAATTTTATAACATATGGAAAATTTGAAAATATATGTATTAGAATTAGTTGTATATCGTATAAAAATTTATTCTTGGATAATATAAATGTTTCAATAATTCTTATGTTAAATAATAGTATTTTAGTCAAAATAAAAATTTAAAAGTCAAATTTAATGGTCAACTAATCATTTTAGGTAGATGAAAATTAAATTTCAAGTCTATAAAAAAAGGTTTATCTAATATGCATTTTAATTTTAAATGAGGAGTTTACAAGTATTTTCAAAATAGAGAGAATGTTTTTATAATTTATATAAAATATATGAGTGGTTAATGTATTTTATGTATTTACTTATTTTGTCACCGACTTGACCGAAGATTTGATCAATCCAAATGTCTGGACGGTAACCCACTAGCTTCTCTGATTAGATGTCTGCACTGTGAGCCATCCATCTCAAGCTATTTTACGAACCGCCGCAGTCTTTTTTATAAGTTTCAAAATAATTAAATTATACAAACTAAAAAGCTGGTTAAAAGTGTTGGAGATAATAAATAGGGAAAAAAGACAGTAAAATACCCTTAAAATTACTAAATGACAAATTAGGGTAGATAAATTTTAAAATCTCAATTCAGTCCCCAGGTACTATTTTAGAATTTTCAAATCTTGTAAAATTACACAAATGCCCTTTACCTTTTTTTTTTACTTTTTTTTTAAATACTGCCACATCATCAATTCCGGCTGCCAGAGCTCCGACGCCGACGACCCTGCCGGCGACCAACCACCGGAGCTCCGGCGACTGGTCATCGGAGTTCCGGTGACCGGTTGTCAGAGCTCCGATGACTACTCTTTCTTATATATTGACCACTCTTTTTTATCCATTGACTACATTTATTTTTGAACTTTGATGACACGTTACCGAAACTCCGATGACTGGTCAGGGGTGCTCTAGTGACTACTCTTTCTTATGTATTGACTACTCTTTTTTAGCTATTGACTACATTTATTTTTAAATTCTGATGACTACTCTTGCTTATGTATTGACTATTCTTTTTTAGCTATTGACTACATTTATTTTTAAATTCTGATGACTACTCTTGGTAAGCTATTGACAACTCCAGTAATGCGATTTACTACTCTTGTATAGTCAATAGTTATATAAAAATATTTATTGGAACTTTGAAAACAAAAGTTGTCAATAGTTAAAACAGAGTAGTCAATAGCTATCTAGAAGTAGTCACCGACAGTAAAGACAATGTTGTCATTTTACAAGATTTGAAAATTCCAAAATAGTACCTGGGGTCTGAATTGGGATTTTGAAATTTACCTACCCTAATTTGTCATTTAGTAATTTTGAGGGTATTTTACTGTCTTTTTTCCTGATAAATATCTAAACAATGCAACTAATTTTTCTCAAAAGCTCTTTTTATCTATGGAGAGTGTGAGTGGCAGAGTGAGTTAGTAGAAAAAAACACGAGAGAGAATGAATCGTAAAAAATAAAAATAAAAATAAAAATATATAATTAGTTAGGGATAAAAATTAAAAAATGTATTAAATAGACACTTTTAACAGTGTACCTTATAAAAAAAAACCAGATGCATTTGAAAAATTGAAACTTTTATGAAAAAGCACCCGAGGGACTATTTTTTATCATCAAAGCAGTATTCTCCTAGGCTTGAAAATCGAAATGCTAAAAAGGTTTGCATTAGCCTTTTTTTACTTTTTTTTTTGGGGGGGGGGGGGAAGGGGAGAAACTAGTATTATTACTGCAGTCAAGATTTACACCCCAAAGCGAAAAAACAAACTTCAAACAGAATGAAAGGAAATAACAGCATTGACAGAAGCCAATGATGGAGGTGGAAAAAACCCAATCAAACGAACACATCTCCTTAGAAGTATGAGAAACCCGAATTACAATTGAGCGAGACAATTTTGAAAGAATTTATTTTGAGTGATTTTTCATTGTATTTATCTTATAAAACGTAAAATAATTTGCCGAATAAGCTCTAATGCTATGTTTGGTTCAGCAGAGAAGAGAGCAGGAGAGATTAATTAAACGAAGCGAAAGGAAGGAGAGGGGAGGTCATATGCTTTGTTTAGTGGGAGGGGAGAGGAGATCTCTTATATGATCAAGGAAAATAGTGGGGGGAACTAACTAAAAATTGACAAATACAATATTTTCTTATATGAGTTTTTACTTTGGTTTTCAGATTTTTTTTTCTAAAGAAAAACACAATCCTTTTTTTTTTTTAGCATAAACGCAATTCTTCACAAATTGAAGAGACAAAAAAAACCTTTTCAAGACAGATTACTCAAGTTCACATTACGAGCGGAGAATGCCCATAGGCAGCATTCCTTTCATGTTTATTAATAGGTTAAGTTGCAATTAGCCCCCATGCTTAATAGAGAAACGAAGCTTAATATAGCAAGACTCATGACAATCCCGTCTAACCAATAATTTATCTCAGTTTCCAATAACATGGAATGATAACGTCATGAGTCGGCAATTCCATAAATGTATAAATTCGATAAAAAGTAACGGGCAGAGCAGACTACTAGTATCTTGAACGTGGAAACACCATTACTCATAATATTAACATTACTATAAATACAAGAAAAATCAATGCCAGCAATCTAATTGTATAACGCATCCTTACAAAGGAAACCAAACAAATTCAGATCCACCCCTTCGTCTCAAGACACTCAATGTTGCGGCTTTCTTTTGTTCAGCAGATGTCTGCTTCCAGGGTGAAACCAGCTTACACTCATTTCAATTACATTGCCCAAGAGAATCTTACTTCTGAGGGAAAAATTAAATTGTTGAAATCAACGAACAAACCAATTTGTACGCTGAACCTGCAAAATCTACCAACAAATTATATTTACCAACGACTCAGGTGTTCATTTTTCAACAAATGAAGTGCCAATCCTCCTCCCTCAACTCGTAATAATTATCAGCCAAAGACTCAAAGGCTTCCACCGAAACTCAGCGAATCTCCAGTTCCACATTCCCCATTATTTCTCCTGCGTATTTTGCGGGCCCGAACTGCTTGAGGCAGACCGTTGTTGACCATAATCGCTACTGGGGCCACTGTATTCACTAGTTTCTTGCTCTAGTGCCAGCTTCCTGAACTTCTTTAGGTCCTCATTGTATTGGCCAGCATCATAACCTGAACTTTCGAAGGAACTAAGTGCTCTGCTGTGCCCAGGTGTGCTCCCCTCATTCAGGTCATCCAAAGAAATATTGCCTTCTAGAGCCCGAACTACCTGCTTAATGCCGAACATCTTAATCTTTACAAGCAAGCACTGGATCTCTAGATTCCAGAATTCTATTTGCAAATGGTCAAATTGGATGTCGGAATTTCTACATTCCAAAATATCATCAGACATTCTATCAGATTTTTCCCAGTAGCTTGCAATAACTTGACAATATATTGCAAGTGTTACTGGACTCGTTTTCTCCAGAGAAATAGGTGGGATGCGCAGATGCGGAGAATTCGTCAATAGAAAATAACGGAGAACTAAAAACATGTTTCTACACTTGGTTAACTGACCTGGCTCATTCGAGGCCGATGCCTAGCTGAATAGCGCACACAATTTGCAGCGCAGGCAATCATTCGAAGCATCTCATCAGAGTTGTAGCTATTCTGCAACCTTGGATCAGCAAGAGCATCGAAGTTGCCATTTTCCATAGCTTGAGAAAGCAAAGGTCTTGCCTGTAATTTGCACAGTGTCTTAGTGCCTGATAGGTATATCACCTATCCATTACAAGTTATCGCAGAGCTCTTTTTTTTTTTTGGGGTTAAACCATAATTTCAGTCAGCAAAGGCATTGCTGAACGCTGATAGACAATTGAAGAATTGAATAATGTTTTGTAGACCAGTTGTCTCAACTATTCATTACAAGTATCAGTTTTAGCTCACAGTTCAACAAATCCTTGACATCTTCAAATGGTTAGAAGACAGCAAATTAGTTTGGTAGATTTTCAGCTCACCACATAATTTACTTTCGAAGTGACCCAATGTACAAACTACGCACTTGTGAGTTTCTTAACACCCGCAGCAAATACTAGTCGTGAAAAAAAGATTTCCTAAGCTGGAAAAATAGAAGAAAAATATCCAAATTTAAATAAAATATAAAAAGTAATTATGTAAGCCATAAACAGAGTAACCAGACCTTCTGCCCTGTAGCAATTAGTAGTAATAATCATAAACTCAACACACACACATGCTTAAAAAATACACAAACTGTAATATACCATAAATATCTGTTTCTCGATAGAGAAATATTGATAAAGTATTGTACCCACCCACTCAACCATACTGTCATCTGCAAAAGACTCAGTTTTATCAACAGGTCTTCGCCCTGTAATCAACTCCAAAAGCACAACACCAAAGGAGAAGACATCTGACTTCTCAGTGAGCTTCCCACTGGCAGCATATTCTGGAGCCAGGTATCTGCGTTAAATTAAATCAGAATCAGAATTCAAAACCGGAAAAAAAAAAAAAAAAGCTACAAACAGTTAATAAAAAGGGGGAGGGGTCAAAGAAATATATTACCCAATAAATGTATTTCATAGCGAGACTCAAGAGAAAAGATTCAGCACAATAAAAGTTTACCCAAAGGTTCCCATTACTCGAGTGGAGACGTGGGTCTCAGCATCTGATGAAAATTTGGCAAGTCCAAAATCTGCAACCTGAATAAAAAACAACACAGGCATAAGCGAGTGCTTGAGGGAAAGTGAAATTTTGCACATTGAAAACCCGAAGGTATTGTTTCTCTTGCATAATTTACAAATTTTGGAAGGGAAAAAGTTTAAACAGTTACAAGTCCTACCTTCGCCTCAAAATTGTCATCAAGAAGAATGTTTGATGCCTTGATGTCACGATGTATGATTTTTGGGTGACCTAAAACAAATATTAGACAGAAAAAACCTAAAAATTCCAAGACCACCATGGCGAACCAAAAGAACTGCCAGGACTCTATTGTAGATTAGTCATGTAAATTCTAAAGCAAACTCACAGTCCTCATGCAGATAAGCCAATCCCTTTGCAGATCCAATAGCAATTTTCATCCTTGTTGCCCAGTCCATTGTTGTTCTATCTTTTCCTGGAATGATTATGAATGGAACCATCATGTATGGTTATATATTACCCGTAAGATTATCAAATCTACAACTCAATAGTGGAGCGCCTCGTCCCTTAATAGCCAACACAGGTCAGGAAAAGTACATACTATAATATATTTTCAACAAAAGACCATAGCAAAGTACACAGAAAACCATAACATGAAATCAAAATAACACTTTAACTAAAGTAAACAACGAGGGAATAAAATTGCGTTTCAAAACAGAAATTGTGATCCTCATGATTTTTCTACACCAATAGTAACCATGAGGTCAAATTGAACTAGTAACCCTAAAGCCTTTCCAGCATTCTACACCAATAGTTCTCAGATTACGTTTAAAAATCTTCTCCTCCCAATACCAGAATTTTTTTATAAAAATCTTCTCCCAATCGTTTCTTTCCAACCTTAAATTTCCAATGCACTCAGCAAACTTTGAAAGGTTGATTCTTTAATATTAAACCTATTGATTTATAACCTTCAAATTCTCTAATTGTTGTACAAGGTAGAGTTCCTGTCGACAAATGTATATCTGCACTGAATTTTGAGCTTGTAATTTTGTTTACTCTATTTTTATTCTCATAGAACAGGGGGATGCAATCAGATCCAAAATTGTAACAACTTTATGAAAAATTTCCCCAGATATTGATTTCTAGTTTTCAATCATTCTAATTAGATTTAGCTTCAAATACCTTACAAGTGTTCCAACAGCCCAAGAAAAAATCAACCTGATGTGTTTGATGAACAATGTGCAGTTGTTATTGGAAGCTCGGGAATGGTTCCTAAAGAATAGATCGCAAACTGTATGTGACCATATTTTCAGCAAATGTTATCTCAGGGGAAAAAAAAAAAGAAAAACAAAAAAGAGCAAAGCCATTCTCCATTGTACATCACTTTTGCATGCTTCTCTATTTGGGAAGATGAGGGGAAAAAATTAATATCGGAACCTCACCATGTAAATGGAATTCTAGTGTATTGTTTGGGACAAACTCATAGACAAGCATCCTCTGGACTCCAGCAATGCAGTATCCAACTAAGGAAACAAGATGTCTGTGATGGACTCGACTAATGACCTCCACTTCAGCCTGGAACTCACGCTCCCCCTGTCTGCTTCCAGATTTCAGCTGCTTAATTGCAACAGTTTTTCCATTTCGGAGGACTCCTTTATGAACATAGCCAAAACCACCTTGACCAAGAAGATTTGAGTCTGAGAATCCATTTGTTGCAAATGCAAGTTCTTCATATGTAAACGAGCTTTGTGACAGTCCAAAGGCAATGGCAGGAGATGGTGCGTGGTATTGTCTCTCAGATTCCAAACTTGTGCCACTTGTAGAATACATAGGAGGAGATGCTTGCTGATTCAACAGAACTCCGGGGGGTGGACTTGGCTTGGGAGGCAATGTTGCTCCACCATCGGTTGGAGGAGGAATGCCATGTTGCCATTGCTGGGGTGGACCACCAAACTGATCAGCTGAAGACATTGGCATCAAGAATCGTTGAGAACCAGATTAGGTGCACTTTAACATACATACATTCATCAAATTAAAATCACACTTCATGTATAACGAATTGGGCTAAAAGTTTATTCAAGGCAACTAAAGTAATACGCGTTTGTCCAACCAGAAGCGATCAACCTGGATACAATGCGAAAAGCAGAAAAAGCACAGTGTGGCCTAAGTAAATGATAATGTCAGTCCATTGGACATAGATCCCCTTTCCAGCCAGCAGACGAGACAGAGCATAGTGAGATAAAATAAGTAACTGAAATTAAACATACTTCGTGCGTCGCTTTATATAGAAACTTTTCCTCTAGGAAGCAGTATAATGGAGTCAATGAGTGTGTCATCAATCCAATAGATTTCAGCACATAATTACATTATGTGGAACGTAACGCCACATTCACTCTTCTTGTCGGAGTACTAATCGACAGATGTAACCGACTTATCCATTCGTTATGCCCACTGAATACACCAAACGACGGGAAGAAAACGTTCATATGAATTAAATTAAAGTTTAAAGTAAAATATGACAAGAAACCTGTCCAAAATTTTAAAGAACACAGGTATACACACTACATAACGGAACCCAGGAAAGGCTTACCTTTAGGTTGGGATGGAGGAGCAGCAGAGTAATCGTTCATTCTCATCCTCCTCCGCTTTCTCCTTTTATAGAAAAAAGCACAAATGCCCACACAAGCGAGCATAAGCAGCGAGCCAAACACAGTTCCGACAACTAGTCCGGCTACTGCAGCCTTGGACAGTCCGTCTGAGTCCGCCGCCGGCGTCGGAAGCACTCCCGGAGGAGGTGGCGCCGACGGAGTGGCGGTAGGTGAGATGGAATTACTCGGAGCTGGAGGAGAGGTGTCATTGGTGGTGACAGGAGGCGGAGGAGGAGCCGTGGAGTTGACAGGCTGAGATGTTTCCGGAGGCAGCACGGACATCGCCGGAGAAGAAGGGTTTGTGGTCAGAGAGGTTCAGGTGTGAATGGAGGATGAAAAAAGGAAAATGCGAGAAAGGAAGAGCATGGGAATTTTGAAATATAGAAATATCAAACGACACAAATACCAAGATTGAAGATTGTATCATCACATGGGAAGCGATGAGTAGAATGTGGTGGACTGGTGGTGGGCCATGTCTGATGTCAGTGAGCGACCCTGTGAAAATTGAGAAACGAGAATGGAAACAATTCTGTACGGAAGATTCTATCCTGCGGGAGTTGATTCGTCCCGTCCTGTCGTTTTGTTGGATCTCCCTTGCGTTTTGCCCGCCCAAGGTCTTTTGTCGTCTTCTTAATTGGGCGGCTAAAATTATAAATTCTTTTTTTCTTTTTTCTTTTTTTGGTTTCATCCCCTTTATTTTAATAATTTCCTTCCTCTCATGTTGATCAAACATTTTTAGCTAAATGTAAACCTTAAATAATTAATTTGTAGAGACTTAAAAAATTAGTTATATTAGTTAGGATTAACACTATTTTTATCATGAAATTTAACCTTTCGGTGAAAAAAAATCCTGAAGTTTTGCTCCTGAAATAAGGTTTTAAAAACTAAAAGCACTGTTTTGGGTCAAATTAGGCCGGCCAAGATGAAGTCAAAATTTAGTAACCAAAACTGTTAATTTCAGATTTTAAGAACCAAAACAAAAAAAAATTAAATTTTAAGGACTAAAAACGTTATTAGACTAATTAGTTATTTGTAAAACATATATATTGGTCTTTTTAAAATAATTATTTGCATCGAATAATAAGACTTCCGGTTTTAATTATAACACCTAGTTTGTAAATGATAAATAAAATTTTATAATTAACACCGAAGATAATACTTTCTTAATAAAAAGTTATTACACTACATAAACGTCTTTTCTAATTATGAAAAAAAAATTTAAATTTTGATTTCTCACGTTATAAAACTTTTTACCAGACCATCATAAGCACACGTGCCAGGGATACCCTTATTCTGTTTGGGCGAATTAAAGCGCGTGAATCATTTTGAATGAAAAATGATACTCGTATGATGAACATATGTACGACGAAGGGGGGAAACTGGATTCTAAAACGGCGCAAAACCCACGGAAACATAAAAGCAATAGGATGGAGTTGAGAACTGTTTGAATAGTGTTTGATGGAGGATTCATATTTCAAACGGCTAACCAATAGGCGTCGAAGGTTTTATTGCTGTCACCTCCACCTCAAATTATCTGTCATATTGCTGTCATAATTCACTAACCAATAGGATGGAGTTGAGAACTGTTTGAATAGTGTTTAATAAAGGGTTTTTTTTTTAAAAAAAGAAGATAATCATAACCTAATAAAAATGACAATTACAGGGATGAAGCCCCAAATAAAAAACAATCTATCTATTTATAAAGGGTTTTAAAAATATGGGCTAAATTACATAAAAATTTTCTAAATTTACAATTATTTATAAATAACATCCTTAATTTTTAGAATTTCAAAGGATAAACAGATTATTTATACATGACATAAAATTAGGAGGATTTTGTATAACTTAGCCAAAAAGAAAATATACTGCCTCTGGTCCTTCATATAAAAACTCGTTTAATTTTTATTTTGATTTTAAATATAAGATCCCAATCCACTTTATCTTTCATATATTGATCCCATTCTGTCCACGGTAGTTATTGTAATAATGATAATTCTAGTCAATACACTTAATTAACAAAAATATTTTTTAAAAAACTAACATCTATTTAATACAAATAACTAACGTAATTGATTTTTTAATTAATACAAATTAGTCAACTAGTTTTGATATTAATATTATGCTAACTAGTGTTTGCTTTGGTAATAACGGATGGACGGAGTATGACATGTGGAACATTCAACGTTCGAATTCTCTTCATCTTACCCAAAAAAATTAAATACATAATATTCGTCCAGTTATAGTAGTAATGCAAAAGAATATAAATGATTATTTTAAGCAAAATTAACGAAATGTATTAATTTGATCTATTACGGAAATTTCTATTTTTTTTTATGCTCATCAGTATTATCTTTTGAAAAATAATGATTTTTTTGTAAACATTTTTCAAATTAACGGGTGTTTTGAAAAATGCTTATAACTAAATCCTAAATCTTACTATCTCTGGTTCTAATTATAAGAGTCAGTTGACTAATTTAAAGAGATTAAGAAAAGAAGTTAAGTTAGTTATTTATAATAGATATGTGTCGTCTTTCTTAAAATATCCTTACTAATCAAATGTATTAGTTAGAATTACTATTATTAGAAGGACTATATTAAAAAATATATATAAATATGAGAGACAAAGTGGATTAAGATTTTATATTTAAAACCAAAATAAAAGTCAAACAAGGTCTTATATTAAGGATTGGAGGTAGTATTATGAGGACTAAGACCAATGTTAATTAAATTCTCTTGCATAACAAGTAAAATAGTTATGCATATTCAAATATACAATGCTTCTCCGGATATAATGTAATACTTTCTGAGAAAAACGATTTATTGAAAAATAAATTAATAATTTCAAATAGTCACAATACATTCCATTTCTAAAAAGAGTAACGGCATTATCTAAGTCTAGTCTGCATATTATTTAGACATAATTAGGTGTGAATGGACTAAGAGAGTAAAAGTTTCAGAATGATATTTCCTCTTTTGTTCTTCATTGGTTCACCCATCATTTCATTCACATGCATGAGGTGGAAAATTCATTTCACGTCAACATCTCTAACTAAATGAGATCCGGATGATAAAAAATGCATCTGTTTAGTACTCATTTATTTAGTCCTTAATATAGAATATAATTATTGAGTTAAGTTCGATTCTAAATATAAAATTTATTTTTCATATTGATCAGTTTTTTTAACTTATCGTTTTGAATACTCCTTTAACTATAATCAGGTAAAAAAGGAAGAGAGGATATTAAGAAAGATGATTATGGTGTTTTAGTAAAAACATATTATGTTTCTTATAATTAATTAACTAACTTACCTAACTTCTTTAATGTAATCAAATTAATGAAATAGATCTTATATTAAGGATTAGAGGTATTTGATAAAATCTTAAACATGATTGCCTGTACTACAAGGGTATATTTGCATAGAAAAAATTATAAAATATTAATAATATATATATGAATTCCAAATAGTTTTATTTGTTATATGCCTTTTGGTTTTTAATTATCATCGCTTTTTTCTTTGTTAATTATATTTATTAAAGAGTTTTTATTAAGCAGCAGTTGCTAAAGTAAAAAGTTAAGGTGTCATGAATAATTAATTTAACTATTTTTTTTAATTTTTAAAAATTAGTTATATGTCCTATGTTCAGTATTTAGGATCGGAAGACCTCATGCCTTCCTTTTCTTTCTTTTTTCGGGGGACTGAAACATGCCTTGTATGGTTGTATTTTGAAAGGAGGGATTATTGGGTAATCTTTCCGTTCTTTATTATAAGAGATATTTGATGTTTATAGCATGTTTCTATATATAAGAGACACTTAAAAGTTGTCTCTACTTTTTTGTGTTGATTTCCTATTTTATCCATATTTATTATTTCCAACTCACTCCCTCCCTCCCTCCCACTTCTCTTTCTTTTAATAATTTAATTGTTCTCTCTTATACTCTCTCCTTATTAATGAAGGTATTTTTGGAAAAAAGATTATACTTTTTAAATATTGATTATTTTTAACTAATTTTAACTGTTTTTTTTATCAACGTAATTCGGTTATTCGTCTCTTATAATAAAGAACGGAGGGAGTATTGTTTTAGGCTCATAAAGTTCATAAATTAGAAGGAATGTAACTGACAGTGACGCCATCTGAATTGCCCAGGCGAAGCAACCGGAGAGTGGTTGAAGTTTCAATTTATATCGGGGCTTCGAGAAAGTGCGATGGAAACCCGAAAAGGATGACGGAAAAAATACACACACCCACCGCCACATGCAAACAAACACGATAATGCCAAACATAAAACCTAACGGTCATACCGTTGAATTTCTTCAGCACAGTATGTTTTCCTTCCTCTTCCGCTTCAGTCTGTCCCTATCTTCATCGATCAGTTTCCTCGATATTGTCAGTTGAATTCCGTTCATTTAATGGCAAATTAATTGCACGATCCTCGGCATCATGGGTCGGAGAAGGAAAGACGAGGGGCGTTTGCTTAAAAATTTGTTATTTGTAACTGTAATGTAATTGTGGCGCTATTGACTATTGGATATGAGCACGCCGAACCGGGTGACGGCAAAAAACTTCGTCGAGGATGGGAAGAAACGGATTGTTTTTCTAGTCATGTGCGCTGTGGGACTGTCATATCTCATGTCGTGTAAGTTTCTCAGTGTACGTGCTTGAAGTTTTGATTTTTCATTCTATAGTTCATTTGGGTCCAGAATAGGTACTCTAGACATTTGTGATATTTTATTTATGTGCGTCAATGCAATCTCCTGTTCCGTCCAAATCATGTGTTTCTGTTTTAATCATTTCCAAGATTTTTTTTTTTTTTTTTTTGAGGTTTGGTGCTCTTAACTCTGTAACTTATCTAGTTTGGCTTTCCTAGCAACGCTCTTTTCATGGAGCATTTAAATATCATGGTCTTCACTGTCCGAGCACAAGCGAAAAAATGGTGGGATCAAAATGGTGGCATTTAAAATGTACTAAAACGTAATCGGGGGATTGGAGTACTTTCATATTACGCCACTAAGTTTTAGAGGCTAATTTATTTTGTAATGGTGGTTGGAGTCAGTATACGAAATCATGTATCCAACAGTATTGCTTTGGCTTTTCTTTTCTTCTTATGGTTATTAATGAATGATTTGGTCCAGATGGATTAAAAATATGATTTGGTCTGTATCATGGGTCGACAAGTTTCCTTTGCAAGCATCGCAGCGGAAATTTCTTTGTTTGTCTTTTTTTCTTGGTAAAAGTCTATGCTTGACTTATAGTAAGCAAACTCTAAACTACTCATCAAGATAGGAATGGTTGCTGATCCTGTTGTGAGTGCTTACTTCTTACAATACAAGTCGTGCTTTATGTCATTTATGCCGCTACAGTTTGGTTTAGCCCCTAAGCTTGATAAGGTTCGCTGGCTGCATGAACATATTGCTTCTAGTGTTCGTTTGATGTCAAAAGATTTCATTGACATTGTGACTGACCCAACTTTGCTGCTAGAGCCTTATTCCCTCACTGCTGGACCGCACCCTTTGTTTTCCTCTTTCTATGGCACATGGCTTGCACACTCTTATCCTTGTTTATTAGGTTGCCATCTTGTGCTTCTGATAAATAGTATTTAGTTTTACGAGTAGATATATACTTTAAAAATTTTAACCTCTCCATTATCTGGGGAACAAGATTTTATACTTTGTACTTGTTGATTTTGGGGTTCATTTGTTTCCAGGGTCTTGGTATTAACCCTTTTACTTTTCATTTCAGTGACTAGCTCATCAGTTTGGGTGAACTTGCCAGTTGCTACCTTTCTTGTTATTGTTCTCCGGTATTTATCACTAGATTTTGAAATGAAGAGAAAAGCTGTAGCATACAACAGTAGACCCTGCACAACCGCAGCTCAGTCTTCAAAGAAACCTCTTGAGTCTCCCAGAGTTATCGCAAAGTCTGATTGGAGAAAAAAGGTGAACTCGTCTGTTGTTGAGGAAGCAATGGAGCACTTCACTAGACATCTCGTTTCTGAGTGGGTGACTAACCTGTGGTACTCTCGGTTAACACCAGATAGAGAGGGTCCTGAGGAGTTAGTGCAAATAATAATTGGTGTTTTTGGAGAGATTTCAGGACGGATGAGGAATATAAACCTGATTGAACTTTTGATGAGGTTCTTTATTTCATTTCTTGTCGATGATATTTTAGACACTATTAACTGATTGACTGATTATTAGCTTTTACTTTGTGGTTTAGTGATCTTATTGATCTTGTTTGCACACACTTGGAGGTGTTTCGTGCTACTTTGGCAGAAATTGAAAAGCAAAGCTCATCTCCTTTAACAACTGAATCTCGAGATACAGAATTGAAACTTGCATTGGCTGCAGAGGACAAATTGCATCCTGCTTTATTTTCTGCTGAAGCTGAGCACAAGGTTGTCCACTTTATAGTGTAATCTGCGTATGCTGAACAATGAGTAATTAAGTCTTATCCAGTAGGAATAAATTCTATTCCTCCTACCTCTTAAGTTTGAGGAATATTACATGTGTTCTTAATTGACAGGTTTTGCAGCATTTGATGGAAGGTCTTATGTCGGTCACTTTCAAGCATGAGGATCTGCAATGCTCTTTCATCCGATATGCTGGTCGAGAACTACTTGCACATGCAGTGATGAGACCTGTTCTCAACTTAGCTTGTCCAAGGTATCATTTGAGCTATTTTGCTTTATTTTTGGCATTTGTTGCTATTCTCATTTCCCCTTTTTCTTTTCACTGGCAGATTTCTTAATGAAAGAATTGAATCTGTGGTAATTAATAAGACCAAACTTAACAAAGGAGCTAACACAGTTCAAGAGGCATCTCACTCTATGGATGATAGACTGAAGATATCTTCTGGTCGTTTTACTAAGCATTCCGATTCTTCTGTTACTGGTTTAGAGCTAGTACAGCTAGGAAATAGTCATTCTAGAACTGCAGAGTCATGGGTGGAGCATAATGCTTTTGATACTTTTTCTAAAGATCCATTGCGTGCGATTGATGCTCTATTATCACTTTTATGGAAGTCATTGCCGTCAAACTCCCGAATTAGTGATAATCAAGGTGTTAAACAGTATCACTCAGGAGGGCAGTGGGGTGATATCTTAGATCTCCTGTCCCAGAGGAAGAGCGAAGCTCTTGCTCCAGAACATTTTGAGAACATGTGGACAAAAGGGAGAAATTACAAGAACATGGATGGGGAGAATCAGTCAAGTGAGCTTGTCCCACAACATGTTGTGGGAGGAAAATTGCCAAACATTGATCATAAGAAGGCAATATCAGGACCTAAAGAAAAGGAAACTAATTCTAAACTTAATATCTCCAAGGGTGCCGGTGCTAATTTGGGAAGCAGTAATCGTTACACGGTAGAAGACACTCTTTGTGCAGACCAGAGTAGATCAACTGGCCCATCAGTTCCATCATTTCAAGATGATGACCAAAGCCGCATGCGTTTGCTGATGATTGATTCAGGGAGCAGTACCTCTTTTACATCTGAAGATGACGAAACTAGCATGATCAGCAGTCTCAACTCCACAGGAACTAAAGTTTGGGATGCAAGAAGAAATAGAGATCGGGGTTTCTCTCTCACTCACCACCCACTTGAACATTTTGATAGTCATAATACAAAGGTGAATAAGATACAACCGCGTTATCAAAGACTATCCAGAACCCGATATGGCTGGAAAAGGTCAAGTGGTCAAAACATGCAGGAAGTTAAGAGAACTAGCTTTTTATCTGGAGATGGACATGATATACTTGAGTCATCAACATCAAATGCAAACTATGAGGATTTTATTCAGTTTGGCGATGATTTGGGTAGAATACATAGTGGAGCAGCAGCTTCTACTGCAGCATCCTTTATTTCCAGATCAGAGTCTTGCAGTTTTGCTGTTAATCCCCTGAAAAGTTCACTTCCAGTAGATTCCTTTTCTAAATTGAGATGTGAGGTACTTATTTTATTTGTAGGTTGCAGCTCCTTTAGTTGATGATGCTTGACTTTTTTTTTTCCTAATGCATTTATTTGCAATCTAATTAACTGACACAGGTCCTAGGCGCAAATATTGTGAAGAGTGGGTCAAGAACATTTGCTGTCTATTCCATATCTGTAACAGATGTAAATAATAGGAGTTGGACAATTAAAAGGAGGTGCTAAGTTTTCTTAATCCTTCATGGATTTGTTCCTAATATTAGTCAGTTAAAGTTGTCTTCTTATATGTTCTCTTTAGGCTTACTTCTGTGATGTTTCTTTTTCATTTTTAAGGTTTCGTCATTTTGAGGAACTACATCGGCGCCTGAAAGAGTCTCCTGATTATAACCTTCATTTGCCTCCAAAACATTTTCTATCAACAGGTTTAGATGTAACTGTTGTCCAAGAGCGTTGTAAGTTGTTGGACATTTATTTAAAGGTCAGAAGCTTAATTTGTTCAGTCCCTTGTTAATTTAAATCGTGTTCTCATTCTTAAGATATATAATAGCGTTCAGAACAAAGCTTCGTCTGACTTCTCATTTTTTTCCACATGGGTTCTTGTTATAATGTGATCCCTCATTTCCAGGTCCCCACTGTTCCTGTGACTGATTGGTAGGTTCTTATTCTTGATGAACATTAATTAAAGAGTGAATTATCCGGTTTCAGTTTTGTGATAAAATTGAAGTATCAGTACTTTGATACCGACAGGATAGATGTTGAACATGAATGCATCCATATTTTGAGATATTACCTACACATGCATAGTATAGCATTCTTTTCCCGGCTTTTCTGATCATGTTCTTTTATACCTTGATTATTTCTATTGACTCATGGCTTATTGCTACTCAGGAGCTTATGCAGCTTCCAATAGTTTCAGGATCAATTGAAGCATGGGACTTTCTCAGTATTGACTCTCAGGTCTGTTTTTATGTCCAACAAGTTTTCCTTTGTCACCAACACTTTTTTATTTTATTTTTTTTTAATATTCTGGCTTATTGCTTGCTATTGCATTGTATTGCAGACATACCGATTCTCGAATTTGCTTTCAATTGTCAAAACATTGTCAGGTGATTCATGTTTGATGGATATCGTTGGACATGCATATTTTGAATTTTTCCTATCTTTTGACTTGTTTTTTTTTTGTTGCTTATTGGAAACCAACCTAGTTGACATGGATGATAAACCATCTGAGAAAAGTAAAAGCACCTCCAATTTTTCTATACGTGACCTCTTTGCCTCCAGAAGAGAAAACACTGTTGTTAAAAGTAATGAGGCTGTTCTTGATAAGGAATCTCGGGTTCATTGGAAAATTCTGGCATTGATGCAAGTGCTAGAGCAGGGAAGAGTGAAACTTCTCCTGAGAAGTTGCGAAGAACGCAAGGGAAAGAGCCTGATGGTTCCATTGAGGTGTCTGATTTACTCCATGATACTTCTGACGCTCTTCCTACAGAGGTGATTCTAAGATAAACCCAAATTTTTGGTTCTACATACGCTTATTTACATTTTAGACTAGATGAATAGGTATAATATTTATCATTTCATTTGCGTCATGCACGATGAAACAATAATGCCTGATCGTCATTTGCTTCCTAGGCACACTATCATATGCATGGCTGCAATACTGATTCTGACTGATTATAATTCTTCTATGCAGTGGGTGCCTCCAAATTTGAGTGTTCCCATATTGGATCTGGTTGATGTTATCTTCCAGCTTCAAGATGGTGGATGGATCAGGTAGTCTGAAAAGTCACATTTCTTTCATATCCGTATCTAAAAGCTAAGATGTTTGGTTTTAGATCCGATGTGAAGTTCAGATATGCTTACATTATATATTTTTGTGCACGTTACAGGCGGAAAATTTTTTGGGTGGTTAAACAGATCCTACAACTAGGAATGGGTGATGCCTTTGACGATTGGTTGCTGGACAAAATCCAGCTGCTCCGGAAGGGGACAGTGATTGCTTCTGGGATCAGGCGAGTTGAACAAGTAATCTGAAGAGCCTTTCACTTTTTGAGAATTTCTGTTGTTCTGAGTCTCTTCAAACATTTAATTTAAATATGGATGAATAACACTCTCCTTCCCAGATAGATATTCAAATTATATAATTGTGCCTTCTATTATGGACATAAGTATACAAACCCCCATTAAAATAAAGAAATGGCTAAAATAACTTTAAGAATATTATTAGTTTCTTTTATTAAAAATAGAATTTGCTAGTGAGCATCCCTTTTAGACTTCAGTGTTAATTATTTATTTTGTTTTGACAATCATTGGTCTTTTTTCTTTTACATGAAAAGAGCGAGTACCTCCAAACCAAAAGGAAGTTGAATATCTTGTTTGCTTTAGTGCATATAATACTTACTATGTTATTTAGGCAATATGTTTAAGTGTCTTATGATCAAAGTAGTTTTTTTTAATTGCCAAGGAAGTTAGAGTTTCTTTTAACTTCCGAGTTCAAGCGGAGTGTCTTTTTCAAAATAGAGAATACCATATAATTTGGACCTTTTTTTGAAAAAAGAAGAGAGTGTAATTTACCCTCTGAATAATTGAGACATGGTCTGTTACTATTTTTGATACAACCTAGATTGGAATAATACATGTTGCGCCGTTGGATGTCCATTTGACTTAATTTAGTGCAGGGGAAGCAAGTATAGCTTATCTTCTTAAAATCAAACTTAAGGGAGGGGATTGCATTTTCTTAAGACGGGAGATTCATGTAATTTGGGTATCTTGTATTGGGAAGGGGTGTACTTTACCTTTAAATATTGATAATTTTTATTTTGCTACAACCCAGTGATATTCCTGAGCAAAAAACTCAGCTTTGAATAGCATGCTAGACAAAAATATATGATGTTGACATGAGTTGTTGGACAATCTATATAGATACTATGGCCTGATGGAATATTCATAACCAAGCATCCAACTCGATGCCCGCCACGTTCCAGCCCAGCTCAGAATTCACCTCACGGCCAGAAACCTAAAGATTTATGTTCTCAGAGCATGGAGGATAAGCAGAAACAAGAGGAAGAACGTCGTGCACAGTTTGTGTACGAGCTAATGATTGGTAATACATGTTGCACATTAGCTCTCCAGTTATTTCCAGAATTGACAGTATTGAATATACTATATTTAAGCAAATGGCTTCTGCCAAACAAATTATTGACATTTCTGTGCTTGTAGATCATGCACCAACAGCAATTGTAGGTCTTGTTGGTCGCAAGGAGTATGAACAGTGTGCTAGGAACCTCTATTTTTTCCTTCAGGTATTTTTCCTCTTTAGGATTTTGTCACTAGTTTCTTCCATAAAACATAAGTGTGTGTGTGTGTGTGTGTATCACCTCAACACCATGGTTTTCCCCCTTGTAATTAAATTTAAAGCGGCATTGTTATCCTCCTTTTTTAATTCTAGTTATTAGCACTGGAAGGGGTGAAGGAGCTTATAGATGCAATATTTCAGGTTAACTGAATGATTCTATGTGGTTTCCAGCGGTTTTGTTGGTGCCATTGTCATCTAAATTCTAGCTTACTGAAGTAGAATTCAACCGATATTATTGCTTGGGGTTTAGAATTCCCATTTTCACTGATTGAACATAAGATCGCAAGTTGTAATGGCTTTTAACTCTGTTCCTGCAGTCATCTGTTTGTTTGAAGCAGCTGGCTTTTGACCTTCTTGAATTACTAATGGTGACAGCATTTCCAGAACTAGATCATGTATGCAAGCAGCTGCACGAAGAAAAGCACAAGTTTGGCGAATTCAATCAGAATTAGATTATCCATGGGTTACATAAATTTTTTGACGGTACTGGCTGCCCCATGTTTCTCTGCAACCAACCAAGTATTTGTCTCTCTGCATTTTTACCGCATCATGCAATTTCTGGATTCAGTACTAAAGTCTGGCTAGATCAGCCCTCAGGCGTTAACAAAAGTCTGAAGTCCAAGTATGTACAGAATACCAAACAAGGAAAGAAAAAAAGAAAGTTTTCTTAGGAATTACTCCATTTTGAGCCTAACCCAATTTGAGTCTGAATTACTCTGAGTCTACTTTAACTTCGGATACCAGATTATTTGTGAAAAACTAAATAAGCAAATAAGAATCTTTTAGAGGTGTCTAGTTTTGGCTTTGCAAGGAATGAGATGTAAATATTGATTCTACTGCATTGTAGGCTTTCATACGCGGCTCCATGTTACAAGTTTTCGTATCTATAATGATTTAGTTATTTTTTCAATTTTTATCTTTTAAATTATATTTTATCTTTCTTCCGCGCATCTTTTTATGCTTTATTCTCATATATATATATATATATATATATATATATATATATATATTTAAAGAGGATTTAAATAATACTCCTCTGGTCTTATTTATAAGGCATTTTTAGTATGTTTTACACAGGTTAAGAAAAACCTTAAACTTTATTAACTTTCATTTAAAATTTAATAGCTTTTTAACTTTATTTTTATTTAATATACATTTTATCTCATGTAAACAAAGTTAACACGATAATAAATGAGAGATAAAATTATATATTTATATAAAAAATTTCTCTTAATATCCTATAAATAGAATAAAAAAAATATTTTCTCTTTTTACTTTATAAATAGAAGCAGAGGAGTATAATTCTCCTCTAGCATGTAATAGTATTTCGTCCCTTGACATTGGAAAATGCGTTCTGCTGCCGAAGTGGCAGCTTGAGCCAATTTATTTACTTCATTTTTGTAGCAAGTCTCAACCTTTGCACGCCATTCATTGGCTGTTACATTTTGATGATTTTGCGGCGCATGTTTTACATCTCTTCAACAAAGTTTGATTGTGGGGTAAAATGTGTGTGTGTGTGTATATCTCGCCTCCCTTCCCAACATACATCTTGTGTCTGACTTGTGATTTTATCAAAGGCAAAAAGTATTTTGCGCCTTTGTCAAATCATACCTTTATAGATACTTCCCATATAGATAAAAGATTCAAGGGACAGGCTTGAACAGGCTTAAGAAACGGTTAGAGAGAATGAGGGTCCGTTTGGCAAAGCTTATTTGGGCTTAAAAGCTGCTTTTTTTACTTATAAGCCCGATTGGCTGATCTGGTTGTGTTTGGCTGGGCTTAAAAAAATAAGCAACTTATATCATTTAAGCTGCAAAACGTGCGGTCTGAGATAAGCTGAAATTTGTGGCTTATTGCGTTACTGTAGAAGCTTATTTTTGACCATTGAATAGGGGGTCATTTTCATGCTGGGGCCTCATTTTTCTCACTCGGTTTTTTTCTTCCAACACCGCTCTCTGCGCGACCGCGAGCTCCAACCCAGCGTCCGCCGTCACGTCCTCGCCAGAACCACCCACACCTGGTCGTCGTCAGCTCCGTCGCGTCTCCGTCGTGGGGTCATCGTCTTCAGTGTGGCTTTGAGTGACCGAGAGGCTGGTCCTTCATCGCGTCTCCTCCTTCTCCAAGCTGCTGTCGGCGTCTCCAACCCAGGTCGCCACCGTCTGCCGGTGCATGTGAGGTGTGCTTCGACTTCTTAGCCTCCCAGTGGAGTAGAGTGTCCGATCTACCTCTGGCAAGCGTCAGTTGGTCCGATCTGAGACAGGTTGGCCGGTTCTTATTTTTGTGTTGCTTTCCGGTGAATTTGGCAGTGATAGGCGAGTGATCGAATCATGTGGAGTTGTGTGTGTGTGTTGATCTTTGTGTGAGCTGATATAACATTTGGATGAGGGGATTCACAAAAGAGCTATGAAAATGCCGACGGCTTTGCAACTTGTGAGGTAGAGGAATATAAATTTTAATCCTTGAAACTTATTCGTCTTCAATGATCTGGATATTGCAGCAATTGCAAGATGGAGAAGTTTTTGATTTAATATGAACTGATCCTGTCAAGTTGGCTTTTATCCGTATAGAGAACACTTTCGAGACCAAATGTATCAAATCTGCGTGCTCTGGTGATGTTTGTCATGGGCGCAACATTTTTTTTGACTTTGTGTTCATTTAAATTGGGTTTGGACTATTGGGAATGGGAAAGAAGAACTAGAATAAACAAATCTCCTGAATGGCACTTTGTTCTAATCCATTGTGGCTGTTATATGAATGATTAGTTATTATTAATTCTTCCCTCTTTTTTCTTGCGAATTTAATTATTGTCCAGATAATATATGTGGAAGAGAAAGGGATAAAGTGGGCATATTTTAATATTTTGGTTAATTGAATATATACTCCCATTAACTATAGTAATGACCCCACAAAATGCTTCAACTTGGTGGACTTGTTTATGAACCAATTATTTTTTATGGCTTTAATTACCAAAAATATAATATTAATTAGGGAGAATCCTAATAAAATCTGACTGAAATACTTAAACCTAAATTAAGGCTTACACTTTTAACAAATTCTTAATGAGGCCATAACCTAATTTAGAATTTTTGAATGTTGTCAAATGACTAAAATCCCTCTCTTTAATTAAAAATAAAAATTAATTATTTTACCCCTCCCAAGTAATCTCTCATCTCTTATGATTATTTTGTAAGGATAAAAAACACAAGTGATTTTATAGTTTTTAAAATTTGTATGTTTCACTAAAAGCTCTAAAAATATTCTAATAAAACATTTTAAATTACAAGTTAAATAGCCTGAAAATAAATATTTTTTATTTTTGTTGATAAATATTTATTTTAAGATTTTAAAATATCTTAATTACAAGAAATATTTAACACTATGTTCTCATAATTTTGTTAGTTTTATTTACTTAAGCGATTCCAACCCAAAAAGGTTATTTATAATAACTTAGTATTAAATATTTTTTGTAATTAAGATATTTTAAAATTTTAAAATAAATATTTACCAACAGAAAACAAAAAATATGTATTTCAAGGCTATTTATGTTGTAATTTAAAATGTTTTATTAGAATACTTTTGAAGGTTTTGTTTATATATACAAATTCTAAATACTGTAAAATTACGTATATGCTTTTTAGTCCAAAAAAATAATCATAAGATATGAGGGACAATTTGGAAGGGTAAAATAATCAAATTTTCTTTTTTAATTAATGAGGGGCATTTTGGTCATTTAACAATAATTAGAAATTCCTACTGAGGCCTCATAACCTAATTAGGAAATTATTAAAAATGTAGGCCTTTATTTGGATTTAGGTATTTTACCCAGATTTTATTGGGATTCTCCCTATTAATTATTGTGCACACTGTTGTATGTAGTCATCTATTTTGAGGATATAGAAGAAAGAAGAAAGAATAGAGAAGCTTATTAGAATGTGAACTCATGAACACTAATCAATTCATCATTATTTGAACTTAAAAAATGAGCATTATTGTGTAGCTTACACGATTAATAAAAATTAATTGTGGACTAGGGGGTGGGACCCGAATAATTATTCATGAGATAAGTGCAAATTTATCCAGCATTAGGATGTGTTAGTTCTGGTTTCTTTAGTTTGAACTTGAATTTTTTTTTTTTTGTGTTTTGTTTGTTTTTGTTAGTCTTATGTATATTATTTCCCACCTAGAAATGGATAACGACAAAGAAAAAGCGAGTTGGGATCCGTACACGATGAAAATTCTGATCGATGTTTGTGCCGAGTAAATAATGCATAAGGAACGGCAAGGAACATCTTTTACAAGGCCTGGTTGGAACAAAATTGTCACGAATTTTCGAGAAAGGAGTGGAAAAATGTATGACAGAAAGCAACTTTGTTATCCATTTAAATTATGTTTAGTTTTATATTAACAATCTTTTTTTTCATTTCTCTGAGGCTTTCAAATTTAATTTACTCAATCAATTTGACTTCTTCGTATTAAATTAATTTTAATTTATTGTATTATGTTAATTTATTTTTTTTATCATGTTGCACTTCATTTCTCAAATTTTTTATGATTTCTCTACAGTTCTTAATTCTAATTCACTCATTAAATTTTACTTCATCATTATATTATCTCAATTCAAGTTTTTTCTTCTTTCACTTTATATTTAAAATAATTTTTTTGATTTCTCTAAATTTTTAAAATTTAATTCACTTATTCGTATTAAATTATTTTAATTCCATTGTATTATGTGAAATTATTTTTTTCCCATTTTTTATTATTTATTATAACTCATACCCATTTTGGTCATTTTACAACCAAACTTACTTTTACTCAACCATAATCCAAACAACTTTTTACCAATCTCACTTTTGCAAACGGGTTTTTCTGAACTCCAATCCAAACACAATTCAGCTTATCCAATTTAGCTTTTACCCCACTTCACTTATCCATAAGCTGCTTTTTCAATAAACAGCTTTTCCAATCGCTCATCCAAACGGGCATTGAGTAAGCGCAAATAACGTCCTGTAATGAAAATAAATTGCTGGGAGCACACAAAATTCCTTTAGGGTGATCGAGAGATGCTTTCCATGGATATGATCAATGTATTGCAGAACCTAACCCCAGAAGTTAAAATTCATCTTCCTGACTAAAATAACGGAATCTTATTACATAAGACCTAAAGCGTTTGAATGGAATCAAAACTATAATTTTAAAAGTGCTTTTACAATATATAAAATAAATATGTAGAAAAATTTATCTCAATTTGTAAAAAAGTGCTTCTAAAAAGTATTTTTTGTGGTGCCCAAACCACCCCCTAATTTTGAATCACAGTAGATTGAATTACTCAGGCTACTCGTGTAGTACTATATGGCTTTGCCATTGCTATCAATTTCCTTTATCTTCATCAATTTCACCTTAAACTACGGACATTAAAATATAGTTCTCTAGTCACATTTATAAGGCAAAATTTTTTTTTTTAAAATCATATTTATAAGACACAATTTTTTTTATAAATATATAATTTTACTTTTCATTGATTATTATGTTACCTTAATTTATATAAGATATAATATATATTTAATAGTGATAAAGTTAAAAACTTATTAAATTTTAAATAAAAGTGAATAAAATTTAATTTTGTTTTTATCTACATGAAACATGTTAAAAATAACTCGATTAGAAGAATGCAATCATTGGGAATGATTTACAATGCAAACTACTAAGTATTAAGAAAGATATTCTGAAGAAAAAAAAAACCAACATACACATTTTACAAATAACTAATTCTCTTGATCAACCAAAAGGATCAACAATTAAACCAACCATGCACTTCTGAAAAATTCACATTGCGGGTGTATAGGGATCCCGTGCTAATGAAACACAAAGCCAGGACTAATCACAGGCTTCAAACGCGTGTTACACCGAGGCGTTGTCGGTTAATATCTAAGAATCTCAAGTGAGGACAACCTATACATTGAATGTTAAAGTCGGACTTGCAACACTAACCTAAAAGGATCGTGTTATTCTGGTAGACAACTAATACCTACATAGTCATTTGTAGGTTAGGAAAATCTGTAATATCCCAAATTTTATGAATTTGACTAAATCATGATAAAGGAGAAATTTTTAGAGAAATTTTTGAGATTAAGACCCTTAAAATATTGTCTGAATAATTATAAAGTTAATTTCAAGAATTTAGGATTTATTTTCTTGGAAAATTCAAAGAAAATAGTTAGAGGATAATTTTTGAGCTGAGATTTTAAGATAATTATTTCATTGACTAAAGAAGCTAGTAGAAGAAGAAAATTCATATAAAATGTCCAAGTTTAACTTCTGGAATTATTTGATTTCCTAGAAAATAGAGAAGGATCAAATTGAAAGAAAATAAAGACCAAAGGGCATGATGGTCATTTCACATCCCTTGTCCTTTTTAATCTGCCAAAAACGCCTCCTCCCTTCTCATTCTCCTTTGCTACCGACTTGAATAAAAGGAGAAGGAACAGAGAAAGCTTGAAAGGGCGAGAGGAAGATGATCGACCACGAGGAAGAATCAGAGGTGTTTTCTTTGCATGTAAGCGTGCTTTTCTAATTAAGGTGAGTCCTTCAGGCTTTTGTCTATCCTTGTTTTCTTTGATTGGGGCTTTATGGGAGTGGAAGAAATAAATGAAAATCCTTCCCCAAAAAGAGAAATTCAAGAATCGCATGAAAGCTTTGACCGAAGCATAAATTTTGAGTTGTGTGAGAGTAGTCCTGCACTTTATGCTGCTGTTTGTGTTCATTTTTTTTTCTGGTACCTGATTGCCAAAACAGGGGATGGGTGATTCAAGGGGGTTAGTGTAATATCCTAATATTTAAAAAAAATAAAAAAAATATAATAGAGTCAACTTTCCACCAACTTTCGGTGGAAAGTTGAAATTTGAAGTGGAAAATTTGGGAGAGAATGGAAAAATGGGGCAAACATATAAAAAGGAGAATTATCCTACACATGACCTAGAATTAGCGGCGGCGGTTTTTGCATTGACAATTTGGAGGCACTACTTATATGGATTACAATTTAAAGTCTTCAGTGATCACAAGAACCTGAAGTATTTAATAGATGAGAAGGAATTGAATAATAGACAATGTCGGTGGATGGAATTCATCAAAGACTACGACTTTGAGCTTAAGTTAACAATCAATATTGCTCGTAATATAAGTTTATTTCTTTTAACCATGATAGCGATTTTAAAATTTTAAAGTTTCTTTTTTTCCTATCATGGTTAATCATTCAAATAAATTGTTGGATTTAATCTAAAATGATTTAATAAAAAGAATAGTTATAATTATGGGAGCTCCGGGAGCTCAAGCAAAGGCAAGAGTCAAGTCAGAAGGATTTAGCCCGTAGAGGCTATATGCAGAGGAGACAGGCTCAGGGGAGCCATATGGGAGATTAAATCCATGATTAAATCCAACAATTTATTTGAATGATTAACCATGATAGAAAAAAAAAACCTTAAAATTTTAAAATCGTTATCATGTTTAAAAGAAATAAATTTATATTACGAGCAACATTGATTGTTAACTTAAGCTTAAAGTCATAGTCTTTGATGAATTCCATCCACCGACGTTGTCTATTATTCAATTCCTTCTCATCTATTAAATACTTCAGGCTCTTGTGATCACTGAAGACTTCAAAATGTGATCTATATAAGTAGTGCCTCCAAATTTTCAATGCAAAAATCGCCGCTGCTAATTCTAAGTCATGTGTAGGATAATTTTCCTTTCCATACGTTTGTCCCATTTTTCCACTCTCCCCCAAATTTTCCACTTCAAATTTCAACTTCCCACCGAAAGTTGGTGGAAAGTTGACTCTATTATATTTTTTTATTTTTTTAAATATTAGGATATTGCAATTTTTTAATTATATTTTATGGATTAAATAATTATTTATTTATCACCTCCAAATTATTTGCCTTAATAAAAAGGATTTTCCACAATTTCCAAATATAAAATTATTATGTTCTAAATTCTAAAAATCCCATTTTAAGTTTAAACCTCAAAATCAAACTATCAAAAATTCAATAATACTTCAAATATTTATAAATAAATAATTTAATCAAAACTTTAATGGTATAACTAACATATATATATTTCCACAAATAATAAACTTTTTAACTACAATAATTATTTTAAAACCTCCAGTCACCCAATAAATAAAACTAAACAGATTAAAATTTCAATAATATATCAAACAATCCAAATAAATTATCTAACTTGAATTTAATCGGTAAAAATATGATATATCCCATAAATAACAGATTTTCAACTAAATAAATTAATTTAAATACTAAAACTAACAAATAGAGAAATCTAAACTGATCAAAATTAACAACTTATTTACTTCTAAATTTTTATAGTCATCTTTTGTCAAAACTCAATACTTAGATCATATATAAGTCTCAAAATTTTCTCTAATCACTATAGTAATAATGTAAATAGGAAGCTCAAAATATACATGAAATATTCATAAAGAAATTTTTGATAAAAAGAAGTAATTTTATGTACCTAAAACATCTTCAAAGCTTGCCTTCTTCCTCACAGTGACCATCGATAGCTCTCTGCACTCTTTCACACACTCTATCTCTCTTTCTCTAATTCTCTCTCCTTCTCTCAGCATATGCCTTATCTTCCGTGTCCACTCTCCCTTTTATTCTTTATTTCTCCAACCACTCGATCCCATTTTTCTTCTGGCATTAAATCTCCTCCCCCCAAAGTCTTCATTCCTAATCCAAATGGATTAATTTTTCTATGCCTCAATTTTTTTCCACGCACCAACTTTCCATGTCTCCACTTTCAACTTTCAACTTTTCTTCTTTTTCTTTATTCTATCTCTTTCCACCGTAATTGTTGACTCTTCCCCCCTTTTTTTTTAAATCCTTAATTAAACTTTAGGATATTACAGTTAGCTTCAGACTTTTCTTTCCTTGAGTATAAGGCTGAATATTGATGAAATTGAAGACAGGTTTTATGACCCACATATATAGGAAATTGCTCTTGGACTGATTCTATTTTAGTGGCATTCTCGAAGACGTCTTTGAATCAATACCTTCATTGTTTTATGCGGATGGCATGGGTTCCATACTTAAAAGGTGAATGAATAGGAATAATATGATTATAAAGATTAAATAATGTTATAGGATATTTTGGAGGAAAGGCCGTGAGGTTTAATGGGAGGGGGGAAAGGAGATGTAAGAGATATGTGTGTGTGGGTGTTGGCTGTTGTCCATGTCAAATTTGGAAAAAAATTTCAGATTTGCTTAAGAATGTGGTGTGAAATATAGGAAGGGAAGAGAGATGATTAAACCTTGGTGTAGACATATTAAAATATTTTTGGATGTGTGGGATGCTGTCCAAAATTGTTTAAAGTGTGAAGATAGATATTGAAATCTGAAAAAAAAAAAGTTTATAGATTAGCAAGGTTGCTGAATTATTTTTGGAGACTAGAAACAAATGATATACATATAGGGATAATTAATCTCCAGGTCTTTATAGTTTCATCTGATTTTTAATTAGGTCCTTATAAAATTTTTTTTTATCAGATCCTTTTATTTTCGTGTGTTTTTAATTAGATCCTTCTTTTTTTTTCTTTTTATCAAGTCCTTATAATTTCACTTATTTTTTAATTAAGTGCTTTGTAGTTTTTGAAAAATTATTTATTAACTTTATTCTTTAAAATTAATTTCATTTTTAAATTAACAATTATATAATTGGACAAAATAATTAATATAATCATTTAGTAATTAATAAATAATCAAAATAATAATTATACTTAAATATAAATTATTTATAATCATATTTTAATTTTAGAAAAATTATTATTATAATTTGAATTTTATAATTATAAAAATTTGAATTGAAAATAAATAATGTATTTGTTTAACTAAAAATTTAAAAGAATACTAACATAAGATGTTACAATAATTTATATATTTTTTAAATGTTATTGTTTGTAAAATAAAGAATAAAAACTACAAGGACCTAATTAAAAACAAAGTAAAACAATAAGAACCTGATAAAAAGAAAAAAAAATTATAAGGACTTGATTGAAAATATATGAAAGTATAAGGACCTGATAAAAAGAAAAAAAAATTATAGGGACCTGATTAAAAACCAGTTGAAACTATAAGGATTTATATATTAATTATCCCTATACATATATATCTATATATATATTAATCTGCCCTTGCCCATATAATTTATAGGATTTGATATTTGTTCAAGTCCATCAACAAGAGAGCCAAGGAAGAAGCAAGGGGAAGTTAGTGTGGAAGAAAAAGCAAAAGGTAATAACTCTTTTCCTTTAATGTGATTGTGCATTGATTGCCACGTGCTTGGATGTGCTTTTATGCTGTTTGTGCATGAGAACATGTAAGTTGCTTTTGCATGATAATATTTGTCATGACAATATGCGCTGGTTTCCATTTATTTTGGAATATGGGTGCAATAGATAGTGATTGGCTAGATAGGTGTATGATGTATGTGCATCATTGATTATATTTGGATACAAGGTGTTGTTCTCTTTGGCTTGTGTAGCATGTTGTTTGTGATCTTATATGATTATGTGAACAAAATTTGTTACTATTAAGATTCTTTAGAATCTCACCCCTTCTTCCATATAATACAGCAAGAGTAAGTACTCTTAAGGGTAAGGAAGTAGTGATTGGTGGAGTTTAAAGTTGCAGGAAGCTGGCGATCTTTTGTACATGTATATTTTGCTTAAAATGCATCTTATTTCAAAGTAAAGATGTATTGTATATCTATTTTGGTATGTAAATATTCCTCCATAAAGAGGTGGCTAAGGACAGATAAACCATGATAACTACTATTGAAAGAAATGATCAATATTTTGATATATAGTTACTATTTTGTCTAAAATTGTGTATCTATGGGTGTGTTTGGATGAAACCAAACCGTGGTTTGGAAAAGTGATTCTGGAGAATAGATTCTGAAAAGAATAGATTTTATGAAAAAGTAATTTTGAGAAGTGAGAGTGTTTGGATACTTGTTATCAGAAGCACTTTTTATATATACAAATTACTAAAAAAAAGACATAAATTAATATGATAATTACAGAAAAAATAGATTTTATGATATATTTTAATTTGAAGGAATAAAATTGTTAATAATATATTTTTTATTAACATAATTAATAATACATAAGATAATATAATTAATAAATAATTAATATGTATATATATTTATAAAATATAAGATTAAATATGTTTATAAAAAAATATGTTTATAAAAAAAATAACAATATACATATCCTATAGACTCTTACACTCTTTTTTTTCCTCCAAAAGTAAAATTTTTTTGCTTTTTTCAAAACCATGGTTTTGATTTTTGAGTGAGTGTTTGGATGATTTATTTCCCAAACCATAATTTGAAATGTCACCCAAACACAACCTATATGAGCCTATGGCCAAAATATTAAAAGTTAAATCCTACTGGCTATAATTGATTTGATATGGGATCCAAAAGGTTGGATGGAAAAAAAAATGGATTCAATGGTTAAATACAACCCATGGGTCTTAAATGATTTTTACCGTTTTTATAAAAAGATTAAATTGGGTACTCGAACCACTCGACAGGTTACTCTAAAAGTGAATTTTGAAATGTTTAAAACTTTTCAGAAAAGAAGTCTTTGGAAACTTAAAAAAAAAAAAATTAACTTCCCAAGGATTGGAACCTGGCTATTAGGGATTCAAAATTGAATAGAATAACTCTATTGGTGTACAAAGGATAGATGTAACAAAATGCAAGCCAATGCATGAAGAGTAAACCAAAATACGTTAATGCATAGCAAACAAGGAATAATCTGCGATTTCCAAACTGCCATAATAACAAAAGTTGATACTTTTCATAGATCACTATGTAACAAATCTTCATATGCCAAAATGGTTGTCACTGAGTTTCCGCAATGATAACTGATGTAAGTAAAAAATACATATCTCATAACCTCTCATTGAACAGTCAAAACATCTCCCGATCTTGTTCAAATTTATGACAACTACGAATTAAAAGAAATAAAAAGACAAAGCAATGAGACTGAAAAATCAAGAGGAATGTTCCAAGAGCTAGACCCAATCTACCAATGACTTAAGCAGTGGCAGCTGCTCCCTTCTTCCTGGGTGCCGCTTGGGTACCTAAAACAAACAATCCAAAAATGAAAAATAAGCATGACAAGAAACCCAAATCGATGATTTAATTTCTCGAGGAATATTAAAGAAAACAATCTCCACCAAATAAAATTAAGTTTGACAGTATTTAATACCTTCTCTGAATCCACTCTTGAATCTGTGAGGCACATTTCGCAAGTACCTCATCCTGCCGGTTCCAGTGGTCTTTCTACGGATCGCCTTCACGCTCCAGTTATCTGGAATCGTAATTATGATAAGAAAAAGTCTCATCACACATAATACAAAGCACATTAAAACAAAAACCTAGTACAAGTCCTTTTGATAGTTTAAACACAAGCTGATCACTTCGAGGTTCTAATAAGCACGTCCACCCGGCTATTCACACACGCAAGAAAACATTCATCACAGACAAATCGTATCACAATCAATACCGAGCAAATTATAAATAACCGAGAAGCCCAATATAATGAAGTATCATTTAAAAGCAGTTTTGGTACCAAACAAATTTAACTTCATTTGAAATAAAGAACTTTACTTCTAAAGGCAAGCCAAGAACAGGTAATAACACGCGAGCAGATACAAATGACAAATTCATCTGAAGGAAAACAAAGAACACACAATACAAAGCTGATTAACAACTTCCAGCAAGCAACCCAGACAAAGGTAAAACTTACACTTCCTCTTGCGAGCGGCAGGGAAAGCGCAGGCGGCACAGCGACTCTTCTGGAGGTGAAAGCTGCGTCGGCCACACCTCACACAGAGAGTGTGGGTCTTGTTCCTCCTCTTACCGAAGCTTCCCGTACCCTTCCCCTGCAATTCAAAAATATCATATTAACATATATGAATCAAGCACAGAAAAAATAGCACTCTGATCACCAAACACAATCGTAGAATCGTATGAAGAGAGAGAAAGGTACCATCGAAGCGGAGACAGAACCCTAGAGGAAATGAGGAATATGGCTGAAGAGCGTCAGCGGCGCATAGATGAATTCTTAAATAGCTAACTAAAACCAAATAGGTTTAGGGTTGAGAGTGGAGACTTGACGGTCCTCGACCCCTCGGAGGCAAAGTAATATCATCAGATGGAGTGAGGTTCACCCGCTATGATACACCGCATTTTCTTTATGGGCTGGGCTTTTTCTATTTCAACGTGGCAAGTTCCTTTTTTTAAAGTTTATTGAATTCTTAAACATGCTGTCTAAAAACAAATTCTTAGACAATGAATAAAATATATTTTTTATTAATAATTAAATAAAAATATATTAATAAATATAAAATAAATCTTCCAAAAAGTTTTTTTGCATTTTTTAAAATTTTATTTATTCTACAACTGTTTAAACTAGAATTTTTATTTAAGACTGTCTTTAATTAATACTACTTCCCGTCTTTAATAAAGAGCTTGTCTAATTTTTATTTTGATCATAAATATACGAACCAATTCATTTTATCTTTCAATTTATCTACTTTTTTATAAAACAGTCTTTGTAGTAATTATAGTTTTAACTAATACACTTGATTAGTAATAATAGTATTTTAAAAAAAATAACACACATTTCTTATAAATAACTAATTTAGCAAACTTCTTTAATCTATTCAAATTAATCAACTAGCTTTTATATTAAAGACAGGATGTAGTATCATATTATACTACCTTCGCTCCTTATTGTAAGAACTAATTTGATTTAGTTACCACAAATAACTAATTTAACTAAATTTTTTAATCTCTCTAAATTAATTAATTAGGTCTTATATTAAGAACGAATTTAGTAATATTTTTAAAATAGATTTGATAGTTGGGGATTATACATGTGCGTGTGTATTCGTCAGGAATAAAAATGTATAGCATGTTCTCCAAAGGCCGAACTACTTTTATCACTGATAGTTCATAAATAATGTAATATATTGATATATTTGATATTAAAAAAAAAGATCTTGTACTATTTCAATTTATTTTTGGTTTGCGAATTTTGACCTCTTTTGGCTAAGTTTATCTTAAAAACATATTAAAAGCTATTATTATTATAATAATATAGTGATAAATATGTATATAATAGGAAAGTTAAATGTTAAGGTATAAACTATAAAAGATGTCTTAAACTTATTCAACGTTCACTTAAATTTTTTCCGAACTCACTGCAAAGTTATAATATTTAGAATTCAGAATTATCACATTCATTTTCATTTAAAAAAAAAAGAAATTCAGTAGAAATTTAATTTTACATAATTATATTGAAGACTTGGCTTTGAGAAGTTCCAAAAAAAAAAAAAAAGAAGGAGTAAAGCATCGCATTACCGAATTGAGATTACTAATCCGTGCAGCCAAACAGGGCCTATCTCTGGATCCTTTCCCGCGCTGAGCCTGGCGGGAAGTCTCGCTCGCTCCGCCTTTGATGCGGCCACAAACGGAGTAAAAAACATGGCGGCAATATGACCATAAAAGAGCTCACAGCATAGTTATAGTTCCTTGCGAGCAGATTCTCGTAGCTTCATTCCAAGCAAACGTGAAATTGAAAAAAAATGGATGCCAGCAATGGAAGTAAATGTGACTCAAAATTCCCCGCCTTTCCCTTTAAACCCTACTCCATCCAGATTGACTTCATGAATGCCCTCTATAAGTCTCTCGAACAAGGTGGCGTTTCCATGCTGGAAAGTCCCACTGGTAAATCTCCCTATCATAATTTCATTTGGAATATTTCGGGTGAAGATGATTTCGTTATTGTCATTTCATTTGGATTGCTGAAAATTACGGTTATATTGTTAATACTTATGCTTTTACCTCTGCTGTTAGATCCAGTCAATCAAACCCATTTCGTTTTTTAGTCGTTGTGTAAGATAAATTCGTTATACTAGTTTAATTTGAGTAATTTTAATGGAATAGGTACTGGGAAGACTATGAGTGTTATTTGTAGTGCTTTGCAATGGGTGCTTGATCGGAGGCAACAGCAGAAATCAGAAGCAGGGCGTGATTGTGGTAAAAATCAGGAAAATCTGGGCGGGGGTTCAGATGATGAACCTGATTGGATGAGAGACTTTGTTGTGGACAAAGAAAAGCAAGTCCAATCTGAAAGAATAAGCAAGAAAAAGTATGGATCCAGATTAGATAAGCCTGATAAGAAGAATAACCGGGAAATTTGTAAAGATTTCCAGGTTATTGGTGAAGGTTCTCCTCCTGGAAAGGGTTGTGATAATTCGAATGAGAAAATGGATAAAGTGGACGTGGATGTTATCGATGAGGAATTCTTACTTGAGGAATATGAAAGTGAAAATGAAGAAGCTCTGGATAATGTAACGTCGAAGAGGAAGGCTTCTAAAACTGGGTTTACTTCGTCCAGTGAAGAGGATGAATCTGAGGAGGAGGAGGAGGAGGAGGAAAAAAAGTTAAAGGTTTTCTTCTGTAGTCGAACTCATTCACAGCTATCACAGTTCATAAAGGAATTAAGGAAAACAGTCTTTGCTAATGAGATGGACGTTGTTTGTTTGGGCTCCAGGAAAAATCTTTGCATTAACGAAGGTCAGACATTTTCCCCTTAAGCAAGCAGGTTTATTTTCTTTTTCTAAGGCCGCATGGCTAATCAAAATTTCTAGATTTTTAGTAATTATCTTGCTGCTTGTTTCCAGAAGTACTAAAACTTGGAAACTCTACACGCATGAATGAGCGGTGCTTGGAACTCCAGAAGAAAAAGAAAAATGAACCAGCAGAAATTAAGGTGCGTGAGTTCAAGTTATTATGGTTATCCTTTGGAAAATGATATATACAACTTTTGAGTTGAGAAAGGTTATCGTGTTTGTTTAATTCTAATTGTTTCTCTATCTTATAGAATAATACCACATGCCTTTTGAAAGAATCATCTAAAGATGCCATGCAAAATTGTAGAATATTATGTGCTTGTGGATGCATGATTTTTACATTTTGCAGGAAAATAAATCCTAATTCGGAAGTTTGTTGGAGCAATGGAGGATACGATTTGGTGAACGTAGAATAATCTAAGCTTCAATTTATTTAACACGTCTATCTGCTCTGCCAAAATACCAAGAAAAAAGTGTCTATTTGGATAATTGAATACTAATCCACTATTCCACTGTTATTCAATGCTTGTATGCTAAATGTTTCTAACTTTGCAGCAAACTATCCTACTTACTAGCAAGTTGGAACAAGCACTTTTGCAATTATATAAATAATAGTGATTATATAGACTACTTTGTCTCCCTGGACTTTGGCTTCCCACGAATAATGATGGCTCTGATTTTCAGAACTTTAGAGCATGTACAAGAGTACGGAGAACAAAGGCATTGTCTGGCTGCCCAATGCTAAGAAAGCATAGATTACAAAGAGAATTCATGAATGAGGTATCTCAGAGAGGGGCCTTGGATATTGAAGATCTTGCTAACTTGGGAAGAAATTTGGGAACTTGTCCTTATTATGGTTCTAGAAGCATGGTTTTGAGAGCTGATCTTGTGGTTCTACCATATCAGTCTCTTCTGTCAAAATCATCTCGTGAAGCACTTGGTTTAAATTTGAAATCCAATGTTGTCATTATAGATGAAGCTCATAATTTAGCTGATTCACTCATTAGCATGTATGACTCCAGAATTACTTTAGCACAGGTGTGTTAGCCATTACTCTACCTTGATTGAAGTATTGCAAACATCTATCTTTCAAGAGCTAGTTTAATCTTGATATTTGAATTTGCATATGCCATTTTGAGATGCTTTATATTGGTGCGGACGCCATCAAACAATGAGATATCAATGTCTTGGAGACAGTCAATATGCATTTAGTGTAAATTTATTGGTACACCTCATTCATATTAATTTGTTCTTCGTTAAACATCTACACTTTTAATATGCAGTGTCGATGTCTCTGTTGACTATAAGATGATTCTTCTTTTTCTTCAGCTGGAAAATGTACATTCCCATTTGGAGAGATACTTTGACAGATTCCGTAATCTTCTGGGACCTGGTAACCGGAGATATATTCAAACTATAATGGTCCTCACTCGAGCTTTCCTCCGAGTGCTAATCAATGAGAAGGATTCAAACCTCATAAATTCTTGCCAAGATATAGAAAAGGCTTTTCAGGATAGTAGGGCCTCTGAATTTACCATGTCCGTCAATGATTTTATCTTTGAACTAAATGTAGACAATGTCAACTTGATTAAGTTGGTGAAGTATATCAAGGAAAGCAAAATCATGCACAAGGTGAGTCTTGCTGCTGTATATATACATTAATGCACTGTCTTCTAATTAAATTCCTCATGGTGCTTCTTGATTTCCTGGTTTTGTCATTTTGATGTCCAAATGTAATTTATTTTCCAGGTTTCTAGTTACGGAGAAAAGGTAGCCAACTTGGAGAAGATTTCAGTTACCACTAAAATTGGAGAACGTTATGAAGATGGAAGCACTCAGTCTGCATTCCAGGCATTAGCTGACGTATTGCTATCACTGACAAACAATGACAATGATGGAAGGATAATCATTTCCAGGTCTAGAACAACGAGCCCTGGGAAACAAGGATATATTAAATATGTTATGCTCAGTGGAGAGAAGATATTTTCTGAGGTTTGCCTGATGCTGTTGTCTTAATTTCTGAGAAATCTGAGCTTAGGTTTCCTGTCTCAATAGATAATATCATGAAAAGATAATTAACTCTTAATCTTTCCCTAGATTGTGGACCAAGCACACGCTGTTCTTTTAGTAGGGGGAACTCTACAACCTACTGAAGAAACACGAGAGCGACTCTTTCCGTGGTTGCCACCAAACCAGTTGCATTTCTTTTCATGCGGTCATATTGTACCCCCACAGAGTATTATGCCAATTGCAGTCTCCCGTGGCCCTTCTGGCCGCTCCTTTGATTTTAGCTACAGCTCAAGGAGCTCACCTGATACTGTGAGTAAAAGTCAGTCCTGATCTGCCGATGTTTTGGTTTGAAGTGCGAGTTCTTCTAATGGTTGTGATTATAGCGATTGGCTGATGAATAGTGTTCTATGTGAATTGCTATTCTCTATTTTACTTCCTGAAGTATTGATTATGATGTATTGTGTGCTTTACAGATGCGGGAGCTTGGTCTTCTCCTCTGTAATTTGGTGACCATAGTTCCTGAAGGAATTGTTGTTTTCTTCTCATCTTTTGATTACGAAGCGAAAGTCTATGAAGCCTGGGAATCTTCTGGCATCCTGGATAGAATTACGAAGAGGAAGCGTATATTTAGAGAGCCTAGAAACAATACAGATATTGAATCTGTTCTTAAAGATTACAAAGAAACAGTTTACCCATCTTCGAGTATAGATCCGAGTGGAAACCCAGCATCGCAAAGCGGTGCAGTCCTCCTGGCCGTTGTTGGTGGAAAGATATCTGAAGGGATTAACTTAAGTGATGGGATGGGGCGGTGCATAGTCATGGTTGGACTGCCGTATCCTAGTCCATCTGACATTGAGTTGCTAGAGAGGATAAAGCACATCGAAGGTTTTCGAAATTCAAACCCCATTGAAACTTCTACGTTTTCCGCCAGTTATAATGTTTATAGTGGAGATATACAAGGCGGTTTCGGTATCTTAAGAAGTTGCAGTCACAGAGGAAAGGAATATTATGAGAATCTCTGCATGAAAGCTGTAAATCAATCAATAGGTGCGTATACGTTCATATCTTTTAAGACTTTCTTCAAGCTCACAAGGGTGTGTTAGGAGTCACATTGGGGTGGAGCCAAAACCACATTTCGGTGAAAGCAACCTGTAGGTTGATTCCATCGAAAGTTCAAAACCATGTCCTAGCTTCTAAAGGTGTACATTGGGTGTTTGGTAATCTGCTTTACAAGATAAAATTTTTCGCACATATTTACTTGGTAGGTGTTTAGATGAGCTTATTGTAAGTTATCTTGCAATATATAAAATAGATATATGAGATCAGATTTGTCTTGTAAAATGTAAAAAAAAAATTATTTAATAGATTCTTTTGTTTCGCAAACACTAAGGTGCAAAATCACTTATAAGCTAAATCAAATAGCTTAATACATCTGACGTGCAGGATGGTGCAACTAGGAAATTTTCCAGTCACTGACATCTGTGTGTTTATTGTTTTAGGGAGAGCAATCCGTCACATTAATGACTACGCATCAATTTTGCTGGTTGATGCGAGGTACGCATCTGATCCCTCAAAGAGGAGTTTTTCTCCTGCAGTCAACAAGCTCCCACAGTGGATAAAGGATCGATTGGTTTCGTCTACCAATAACTACGGTGAAGTCCATAGGTTGCTGCATCAGTTTTTTAAATTGAACACAAGGGTTTGTCAAAAGGATGTGTAAATACATACAGGGCTTACCAAGCCGAAGAGACAGAATTCAGTATTTGTACTCACACAAGCAGATCCTAAGGAAAATTAAATTTGATCCAATATAGTGTGTGATTATTTAAAATGATCAATGTTATTTGTTGTATCATACCACAAATATCATGATGGTTGAAGAAGAGCATTCAGCTATCATTTTTATTCATCTTATAAGGTGATGATACTTCATGTCTGTAGTGGCATGTTTGGAAATACATCCGATGTAATCAAAAGGGAAAACTTTGTTTTTGGTAGAATCAAACTATTCAAATACATTCTTAGACAAACCAACTAAAGTTTGAATTTTCATTGAATTGGAAATAGCATCTTATTTTTAAAATAGGGTTAAAGTGTATTTAGCATTCTGAAATATTTTCTCAAATACATCCAGTATCTTAAAGTATTTTATGATGCATCCAGTACCTGAAGTAGTATTTTTTTATGTGCGTCTAGCAATATAAATGATTTTTTTAATGCATCTAACATCTCAAAGTATTTTTTTTAGATGCGTCCAGTATTCAAAAATATTTTTTGGTACATCTAACACCAAGACAAAAAAAATACTTTAGAGTGCTGGGTGTCCTTAAAAAATATTTTAGAGTGCTGGATACACTACAAAATACTTTAGAGTGCTGACTGCACCTGAGAAAATACTTCAAGATGCTAGATGCACCTTAACCATTTTTAAAATATTATTATTAAATTATAAGCTCACATAAAAAATAAAAGACGTAATAATGTATGATCGAAGTTGAAGAATATATAAAAAAAATTTGATTAAAATGTCTCAGAAAAATAACGAAAAAAATACTTATTAAAGTTTTTTTAAAAAATAAATAAGTCATGTTTTGTAATAGTTTTGACATGTTAAAATCATCTATTTATTATTTTAAAAGTTAACTGGTATTTTTTTAAATCATTTTCCCAAGTATTATTTATTTCATTTTCGTGGATAATGCATGAGGCGAATAAATTATCTTCGACGAACCCGTCGGCTATTCGTAAAGCTGTCATTTTGTTATCTCATGTTTGACCATAATCAGGTAAACAATCATCGGACGAGCATTTGGAAGCTATCAGTGAAAGATGTTCAGAAATGCGATTATGGTCTGCGAATGCTGTGAAAGTCCAGAATTAGGGCAAGTTGGCAAAAGAAACTGTGACGAAGGAATCAATTACGCAAATGTTCCCCAATCCCCACCATATCTGTCTGTCCATACAAACCAAAAGCCTTCTTCTTTGGTCTGATCTCAGAATCGCATCGTCTTGTTCTGATGGAGAACACGACATGGACGCCGAGACTCCACGCCCTAACTCATATACTCACGAGCCCCACCACCTCACCGACCCTCCACTCCCAGTTCTTCATTTCCCGCCAAATTCCATGTTACCTGAATTGGGATTACCCTCCAATTCTTTGTCCTAAACCCTCGATTCTTACCAAATGGAGTCTCTCTCTCTTCTTCCGAAGGCTTTTCGGATTGGGGCCTCCGAAGACCTCGTGGAGGTGTAAGTGCCCGTTTCAGCAGCCTCCGCCATTGATGCTGGCCAAAGGATTGGAGGAAGCGCAGTGGGGACAACAAGAGAGGAGGGAATATGTGAGGAGAAGGCTTGCCAGGAAGCGCCTCGTCAGAAATGTTAACCCTGTGGTTCCGGTTCTGCTACCTAATCTCTTCTTGCTATTGCTTCTTCTTTGGGATCCATTTCGTTCTGCAGATTAATTACCACTTCCTTTCTGATACTAGATTGAATGCTCGGAACAAAGTGAAATATAAGTTATATTCAGCAATAGCGATATATAATCTGTATTCCTAACTGAGTAGTTCATATGCTGATTATTGGTGCTTGAGGCTAGAAAGCCTAGAATTCAAATTTTGTAACTTTTACTGGAACATCACATGTAAAACTAAAAGCCTGCATTTATGTTTATTTATTCAGTGGGGCAAGCACTGAAATTATAAGCAGAATCAAATTCCAACATTCATCCGACTACATTGCAGCACAATTAACAAAGCCTACATTTATGTTGCTTTGCAGCTTTGCATTCTCTCTCTCTTCTCTCTCTCTCTCTCTCTCTCTCTAATGTTACTTAAGCTTCAAGCATTATTGGTTCAATTGGCTAGTTCTTCAAGGGGATTTTCTTTTTATTGACTAGAGTGTGAAACTATGCCTCGCTTAAGGATAAGGGTCCATTTTGCTTCATCTAACTACTGTTAGTTATGTTACATTACTCTATCTGGATTCACATATAATTTTTTTTTAATTATATTTAGCTATAGATAAATATTGTGTTACGAAATTCAGATCAATTTTTAATTTAATATGCATACAATCATAATTTTTTAAAATGCGTGTTAATACATAATTAATTCCCCCAGTATTAATACAGGGAAACTTCTAGAGTTGATGATACCGTGAAGCATTTATAACATTCATGCTTTTGATACTAGTTCCTGCTACTGATACCCAAGTTGAAGCTGGGGAGACTAGTTATGGTGCAAGTTGCTTGTTGAGAAAACAAGGCAGGTAAAGAAAAGAACTTTTATTGAGCTGACACACCAAGACTTTCTGGCGATGTTTATTCTTGTTCATCGTATAAGGGCCCACGTGGCAGATGCATCTCTTCTTCTATATGCAGGTTGGCTTATTTTGATGATATTTGATCATCACATATGGCTTGGAGTAGCAGCTTTTATGATTTGTGGATTACGGATGCCGCATGGTGAAGCCATTGGCTTCCTGTTCTTTGATGTGAGAAGTACAAGTATTCAGGAAAAATTGCAATAAGATCTTAAAGAAGAAACATATTCACAAAAAAAGTCTTATAACAACTAAGCAGCCTGTCATTAAAACTTTTTAGTAATTACTCTTCTAGTATTAAAATACAAAACCTATTTTGTAGTGTAATTTATTTTATAAAATGGTCTTATATTTAGGAACGGATGGAGTATCCTCCTTTCCTGGATTCTCACAGTAATTCTCTTAAGTATTTATTGCCACCCGCCTAGATGCAGATTAATTGAGCTAAATGTCCCTTTTTTTTTTGGAATTACAAAAAAAAAAATGTTGTTCATGGGTAAGGCAGAATTACTAAATACACCGTAGCAGCTAATCTTGGCATCCAAGTTTAAATATATTGCCTTATACGGAAATTTCAATGTTAATTGGAATGTTAACCCAGTTTGTTGTACAGGTGCTCATAACTATTGACTTGTACACTATACAAATATCTTCTGGACGCTGACTGGTGTAAACAAATTGACAAACATACAAAACGTGCAGTTGAAAATAAGACACACTCATCAAATTCTATTATTATTTATATACAAGTCACTAACTTCTTAACACTAAGATGGTGAAAGTTGGGGAAGCTAGTGATTATGAGTTTTTCTCTGTTTTCTCTAATAATTCGTTTGGCTTCCTTCTCTAATCATTTTCTTCGAGTTTGATCATCAGCTACAAGTTTAATGTAAACTTATGACTTCGTTTCATAATTAATAGCACAAAATATGATGACAATATTTTGAACTTTTGAGTTGAGGGTCCTTGTGCTGCAGATATAAACTATTTGATAAAAAAAGAGAATTCAGAGAGGAGAAATAAGAGCGATTGCTTTTATTTACTTCGAATTAGATGTATGCAGAATGATTTGAACAAAAAAAAAAAAGATGTATGCGCAATGTTTTGTACTATCATTAAATATTAATTAATAGTTTAATGAATTCAATGTATTTGTACTAACATTGTCACATAGTATACGTACATTTTTCAGAATCAAAGTATGTTAATGAGGGGGGGGGGGACAATATTGATGCATGTTTGATTCATGAATGTCATAATTAGGGTATTTTGAATTTCAAGGGTTAGGAAGTCTTGAGGGTGGGAACTGCAGTGTGTGTATTGATATTGATTAAAAATAATGCTAGGAATTAATAGTTTTTTACATTCTCTTTCATTTGTCTAGTTTAAGAAAAAACAAAGAAAGAAAGAAAAACCCAACAACTATGAGCTACACTTTTGCACTAAGTTTTTTTTTTTTTTTGCCTGATTTTGCACTAAGTTATTAGTCGCTTTAACTTAATAATTTCGGACACAGGTGGTTGAAGGACTTTAAAAACAGGCAAGTGAACGATAGCGACAACACACTACAAAATGCAGGAAATGAAATGCCCCTCAACTTGCTATATCCAATACTTGTCATTCCCACAACATTACCACAATAAGGGGACCATCCTCCTCTTTCGTAGAAATAAATGAGGCTTTCTTCACAAGTGAATGTAATTACTGCATTAACTCATTGTGGCATTAATGGAGTATCTCCTATTAATCCTTCCATGCGACCCATATAGAAAGTATGCCTTCAAGCAGTATCAGAATGTAATTGCTAACGAGTACAGATCATTAATAAATTGGTATAGTTGTATAAGGTATAGAAGATGATAATGGAGTTTTCGATTTATGGGTCCCAAGGATTCAAATTTGGCAAAAGAGAAGGAAAAACGCCGGGTCTTATTATAAGTTACAAACCACCTTTAGCTTTTCATTTTAATCAATGCCTCCGCACTTTCAACCACAATTAGTCAAAACATGACAGTATTTGTGATAATTACATACCAAAGTCCTCAAATTTGTGATCTTTAACTTTAACTATCTTTAATCCAAAGAGGAACAACCTCAGATTAAGGTATGGGACCCCAAAGTACTTTTGGCTGAGATATGGTAATTATCATATGATCATATGGCCACCCCAGAAAGACAGAGAGTTTGAAAGAGACAGAGAGCATGGGATGCCGTGAGCAAAAAGATAGAGTTGAAAACTAGACAGGAAAAAAAAAGTTATGACCCCTTTTTTATAGTACATGTTTTCTTATTTAACTTTATTGTTTTTGTCTTTGGTAACTTTAAGACAAAATTTGAGAATACACGACCTATAGCAGATTTAGGCTGTGTCAGCTCTCGAAGGAAGAGCCACCTGGAGAAAGCTTTTGCCTGTTCAGTGTTCACAGTAGAACGAACCACAAATGCTGCTCAGAGAAACCATTGACAAGACCAAGGTTTTATTTCACAAAACCTTCAGAAATGTCAAGTCTTTCTTGTGTGGAGGGTACCAAAGACCACCCAGATCCCTTTCCTTCAACCCTTTCACTTGCAGCAGCTGCTATGGAAGAACCTACAGAAGAGACCAATTCTACAATGAGTTCTATGATCATTTGCAGTCAGATCTAAGCATAATCAAGAGGGTTGATAGTGATGCCTTGCCTGGGTCCAAAGAGCCACCAGAAGATGGAGATGCTTCTTGTACTGGAAACTACATGAGTTTTGCCAAGCAAAGTGAACGAAAGAGCAAACATGAAGGACAAGTGAAACGAAAGACCAAAGGGAGTTATCGAGTTGGGAAGAAGGAAGATTTAAGTCATCATCAACACAAGAATGGAGGAGCTCAAGTTTTGGCACAGAAGATGAAGGAATTGGAGATGATAGATGCAGCTGATGTTGAGCAAGTTCTAGACATAGAAGAGGCACTTCACTATTATTCTCGTCTCAAAAGTCCTGTTTATTTAGACATTGTGGATAAGTTTTTCGTGGACATGCACTCAGAGTTCTCTGCTTCACAGCCCTCTGTCAGTAGGAAACCCTCAAAAGGAAGGCGTCGCTCAATCAGGTTGTAGATTTGGTTTACCAAATTGCAAACAATGTTCAGGTGTATATGGAATCTGTTTGATCTGTTTCACTATTTTGTGCTTCTTAATCTTCTCTTCCGAGTGTGCTGTGTGGTTGACCGGTTTCCTTTCAGTTCTGGCCATATAGAGATTTTTTCCTTCTTTATCTTGTATCAATTGACTGCATGCTTGATCTTGTTCGTCCAAGTACAACAAAATATTCAAATAGGCGTATGTCCCTATCTCGGTGGTCATTCTTTTTGGCCATATTCATTATCTTTAATTTCTCCCTTGTATGATTGAATTTTAATAGTCTTGCATTTCTTAGTAAACATTAACCTAATCCGAATCTTAAATACTGATACCGTGTGGCCTGTGAGACGATTTGCTGAGTTCTGCTAGTTTATTGAAGCATCAGAAAATGAGCGTTAAAAATTTTTAACATTGACATTACTCCAGAAACCTCAATCTTTCAAAGATGGAATTTGAATTCCATACATACAACACAAAAGAAGGAAAAAAATAGGGTGGATGGAGGAGGAAGAGGCATTTAGATGCTTCGTATTTAGTGAGTGAATGAATCGTATATCTGATAATTGCAGAGTAGGTAGAAATAGAAGAAGTAACTCTCGTACATGCATTTTCTACTCTTAAATAGTACATAACCAGGAGGAAGAGAAGCTTCCCTTCTTGACAAAGTCATAGAGCTTTTGACCAATTGAACTGAATCTGACCCATAGGCTGTGTCAATGATATAATAGGATTTGGACTGTGTAAATCTGATGTATAGACCATTCCCCTGCCATTAACTGCCAATCAGCATATAGACCATTCCTCTTGTTTGCAGTAGGTTATGGTGGTATAATGTACCAAAATCAGACCCATAGTGCTCGAAGTCCATAATGGCTCTAAGTTCAAGAAGTTGAGCCTTTGTGGAGAGTAGGTTTTAGTGCTTTTGATGCTGAAGAGGGTGAGACATTTGTGTCATGACATTTGATCTTAACAGTTTGAGAAGTTCAATTTCTAGAGAAGGGTCTGGATCTTTTAGTTACAGCGAAATTATAGAGGAGGTTTTTGAAAATTTTGCTGTGGATTACCCCAATGTGTTGTGGACACCTGGATCAAAAGCAAGGACAGACATAAAGTCATCATTGATGCAGGAAAATAGAGAATTTGCAGAAGAACCATATATTTACATAGGCAGAAACTGAAGTAAATATCCCATCTATATCCTGTGTCAGAAATAACCATACATTTGCATGGTAAGTGTCGTGTTTCAAATAATTGAATTTGACAGTGACAATCTCAGAGAAGAAAAAAATTGATTATTACATCCACTTTTGTTATTACATATATACTTCACAAACTTTTCTTTTTCAATATTTCTTTAGAATTGACATTGTCATAAAATTTGAGAAGCTGACTTTACATAAGTAAAATGAAAAGCCGGTATTGTTATACCACAGAGATTCTTAACTAACCTTGAAGAGAATGAAAAGGAAAAAGGACTGGTAGCTAACCTCAGAGAGTGGCTGTCCTCTTTCACTAACTCATGGCAGAGTGAAGAAAGCTCACATGCTGCAATGTGACTGTATCTTCTTCCAGCAAAAGCAAGCAGAATGGTACGCCAACCTGAAATACACAGTTCTTAATATTACCATAACTGCACAGAAAGATATAAACAAAAAGTAAAACAAACAATATTACCAAAACTACACAATCTCTTGCAGCCAAGTATGTAAGCAAAATAAACGAAGAGAGGACATGCTTCGTCAAGGTCAGACTTGATGCTTAAAGTATCATCTAGAGGGAGTGAATAGGTGATTTTAAAAATAACAACAATAAAAATAACTAAAACCTTAAAGTATCAGCTAGCTGAAAATGAAGTATATCAGTAAAGGCAAGAACAGATAAGAGATGGAGGGATGGTGATAATGTATACAAGTGAAAGAAACGTCGTCTTCGTGATTCACAGATAATGACAATGGGAGATTCAGAAACGAACCGAAGGCGGTGGAAAAGAGAGGAGCTGTGTGGGTTGTTCTCGAAGTCGATGTGACGAAGAAGGCATTATTGAAGCACCACGAAGCTCATCTTTGGCAAAAGGATTAAAGTCGGCATCTTTTCTAGTGTGTGTTTAGTTTTTTTTTTTTTTTTGGATTCCGGGCTCATTGGTTCTTGGGCAAAGATTTACTGGAACAGAGTTCGACTCTGAATGAGGGAGCCTGTAAAGCCGCAAAGGAGGTGAAGGAGCGACGACGAAGTGACGAATAATAAAATGGCGGGAAAGGAGGCGAATGAAAAGACATGTGTGCCCTTCATTATTACGCTGCTTAGTTCGGTGGCTGAGGAAATTTTTTTTTTTTTCCTTTTTCCAGGTGAACAGGCGAGGAACGTTCTTTGCTCACGTAAATGAATGCCGAAGATTTTTTCTTAAAAAATTTTTATCCATATATTCCAGGGTCAATTATAACTTTTCAAAATTTTAAATATCCTAATATTAAGAAAAATAAAAATTTTAATGAAATTATATACTTAAATATTTCTATTATTATAAATAAAATTTTTCAAAAATTATTTGAAGAGAGTTTGAACATGAACTCTTATTTCTAACTCTACTCCTTAATTTATTTTTTCCCCCTTTAATCATGTTTTAATATATTTGTAAGTAACTATCATAAGTGTTATTTACATAAAATTGATAAGTAGAATGCATGAAAACTAGACAAGACTAGATTGATCGTCAATTTGGATTTTGAAGATTGGCACCAGAAAAAAACTACTTTCAAGTTTGTTTTGAACATTGATACATGGCTTTATTGTTGGCACTTGAAACTATTCAGTGAACATTTACGAATGACCTTAAGTACTTGGAGCGTGCGTTTGTTTTATTTCTTTTTCTCTTCCTATTTCTTTTTTTTTTTTAATTCCCCTCTCAAAGTGACGTAGAATTATCTTTTTTTTTGGGGGGCTTGGATAACAGTTTCATTCTATTCAAGAAAAACCAAAGGGGAATAAAAGAAACCTTCTTCAATTTCTTTAATTCATAATCAAATCACATTTACTTGCATTTACAAGTCTTACCTAATTTCTTCAATCATGCTTAAATGTTGTAAGCTAACATTGCTGCGAAAACTTGATGAACCTGCCACTTAGATTTTGGGCTGTGGGGTATGTTATCAGGTGATTCCTTCCATAACTTGAAAAGCTTTCAAGTGACACCATAAGACTTTCTAACTCATTTCATTATGGTTAGGATCATAATCAGATCACTACACAACTCATTACTGCCATCTGGGATTTATTACCAAAAGATTGGTAGTTTCCCATGTGTAGCACATAAATATTCAACCGCAGGGTAAGCAGTAGACTAATTAATAAGAGCTACAATTGCATTTATGGAGAACCAACCGCAGGGTAAGCAGTAGACTAATTAATAAGAGCTACAATTGCATTTATGGAGAACTTTATACAACCAAGCCTGGTAAACCAACACATGCCTATATGCTCAAAAGGCAAAGGAGAAAAAAGAAGGCTCCAGCTACCCTGAGGAAAAAGTAGGATTCGGAGTAATGAATCACAAACCAGATTCCCACATATGCCAGATTCAGATAAATTTCAATTGAATCACAGAATGCATGGACTCGGCGTCAGAAATATAACCATCGCAGACTATGTGTCCTTTATTAATATTAGTAGCCAGCAGATGAAACCAAAACATTATGCTCCTTCAAACGTCTTTGGAAATGAGCTAAACGGGTTTGCAACTGCAGGATGCCAGCAGCCTTCTGAGATAGAATGGCATTTAGTCTTACTATATAATCATCAAGTTGATTTCCTGGTTGATCTGCTTCAACCAAGAGGTTCATCTCCTGCATTAATAACACAAAGCTAAATCAATACATTATATAAAACCTGTGCATTTGCACAGGCCAGGACTTCTAGGTTAAATGTACCAAAGCTACGAGGAACACATTTCTATGCTCAGGAAACTCATCCTTCTTCCCAGAATCTAAGAACGGATCCCGAAATATAAACTTGTCTCTGGTGTATGCGTATATCCGAAGTTAATGACCATGGATCTAAGACCAAGATCCTTTTGAGAGTCAATCCACAGCTAATAAAGCCATCGTTGCAAATTTCAAGTTCAAGATGCTTGTATCGACCATAAAAATAATAATGAAAACATATTTCAACATTATTAGAACCTATCAGCCAAATACCTCTTTCACAATATTCATAGTCTCCTCCACTTGTTTCCGATGAGCATTTACAAGGTCCTCCTCTTCCTGAAATGATGAAACATCCCACACATTACAATCAATTATATTTTGTATGTATGGATACCATTATCTCAACATCTCACCTTTAAGAGAGCATTTAAATCATCTTCTGAATGCACAACCTTAGGTTCAGCTTTTGGGAGGTCATTCCATTTTATCTGGGTCTGACCATTGGGCTTCTTCAATTTGTCATCGGTGGTGCCATATGGCTCTATCTTTCCATTTTTTTTCCATGATGGTTTTACTTGATCATAGTACTCTTCAGGTGGACTAAACTCATCCCCATCATCTTCTTCGGGCCATGTATCAGCAGTGCGATCCTCATAAGTTGATGTAGTAATTGAAGATAAGGGAACGGTAGTTGATTCTTTGGGATTAAAATTTGTAGATGAAACATCCTTCTTGGTGGTATTCCCTTTCGACAGGCTTTTCACCCTGGATATTCATTCAATTCGTAACATATGTACACAACCATTAGTTTTCTGTTCTTTGTGCGCATTACTAGTGGTATTAGAGTGAATATGGGATGAAGCCATGCAAGAATGAAGAAGCAGGCAATGTTGAAAACATGATTATAATCAAACATAAGAAATCATTTTACCTGTCAGCGTATCTTAATGTATTCAGAGTATGTTCACAAGAACCAGAGCTCGGTGATATGCATGAGATCATAACAGTGCGGGAGTTACCAACAAATGAATCCCTCAAAACTTCGGTTAGTTTACTGCCTCGGAAAGGAATGTGTCCCTGGTCGTTATCAAGGGCTCTTATGCATTCCTTTAGGGCAAGTAAGCTCTTATTGATTTCAGCACCTTCTATTCTGCACCGTGCAATTTATAACAGCCAATGAACAAAACAAATTCATTGATAAAGCTAGAATCTAAAATCTGAGGATAAACACATAAGTGGGACAAAAAGAGTACATGGTTTATAGCAAAGTTGGCAACATTTTAGGGCCTAACTATCTAAATTTGTACAAGACATTGTCTTCACTATTACTTTTCTAAGTCAATTACGTAATGGTGTAAATCCACTTTATACTCGTTCAAGCTCCTTGGAGCATACCTTGTCTGTTTGTCATTATCAGTAGTATCAGCTCCACGTTCACTTCCAGCAAGATCTATGAAGGAGAGCTTGCCAACAAGACGGGGAGGCTTGGATTCATTGCCATCAGTTGACCTCTTGATAGCTAGTTGAAGTATTGCATGTGACCGTGAAGATTCCTCATTTGCACCAGTGGTGCCTGTACTTCTCGTGGAATTTCCTTTCTCAATCAATTCCTTGATGGTCTCTACATCAGTAACTCTGTACTCTTGCAAACCCACAATGCAAACTTGCTGCTTACCATCCTCCCTCATGCAAAGCTTTCTGCAGTACAGTTCCCAATTTTAACTTCCAATTTCATAAAACAGAGAGGCGCTAGCAAAAAGGAAAGGTTGAATGACTTACTTTCGATCATTAAGGAGATCAAAAAGCTTTCCACCATATATTTCAAAGAAACTCACAAATAACTGAAATCCTTGGTTCCTGTAAGTATGTTGCATCAATCTCAAGATGTCCTTTGATGCTTTAAGTGGCAGTGGCTTCATTGTATAAGTCTTTCCACTTCCTAGAAAAGCAGAAAAAGGTGTTTTAGTGTTCATTGGCACAAGTAAGCCATCAAAGTCACGCTAGCACAGAACAAAGGCCGTAGCAGAATATAGGTTTACTTAACAGCATTAAAGCAAATTTGCTTTGGGCCCTTGAACCAACAATTGTAGAAAAAATGAAAACATTTTGGCGGCATCTATTATTCGATATCACAGTACCAAACAGAACCGTGTCTTGTATAAAGATTAAAGAAGTATATGCGATTAAAAAGACAGAATTTACATCCTTATGACAAGTGTTTTTTTTTTTTTTTTTTGTGGGTGGAGGGGGGGTCATATAAAAATTCAGATAGTCACACTCTGACTTTGTCTTAAGTCATGTTGTTATAGCTACTAGATCAGATTTGAAAGACCGTTATCACCTGTCTGTCCATATGCAAAGCAAGTAGCCTTGGTGCGTTGAAAGATTATTGGAACTATGGGTTCCACTGTTTCACTATAAACCTAAGGAAACATGAAAGGGATCAAAAGTAACAACATTGTTAGGACCTTATTATACCTATTCATTAATTTCAAAAGAACAGTTAGCTAAGTAGTCACCTCTTCATTCGTGACCTCTTCATTCAGGACAGCATCAAAAACAAATTCGTGCTTCTCGACATACTGAGTTAGGTCAACCTGTAAAGTATTGTGATCTTAAAAATTAGATAATAAAGCAGCTACCGTAGGATCATACAAAATCTCTTGATCACTTTATAATGTGAAGATAACTGCAAAGAGTTTTCAACAGTGGAGAAATTTTGGGAGTCCAGAATATTTAGGAAAGTGCCAAAGCAACTCATGACTTGTATTTTTGGCCTGATATTACTCATAGTAAGCTTTTGTACATATTAAAATTAAAATGAGCATCCAGATTATTACATTCTGCAACACGACATAGCTTATCGTATGCGGATTGCATTCTACAATTGGGCCATTTGTACCATATCAAGTCATACGTGTCAATTCAGCATGAAAGATTTACTGTTACCCGATATGTTTGGCAGGCAGATCTATTATTATTGTTGCTTTCTCAATTCTCAAAATCTAACATTCTTCAGTCTTATGGATAAGTACACTAAATGGAAACAACAGATATCAATCAAACTGATCTTATATTTGTCTTTTGACCATTGAACTTACCTTAAGTTTAGTCTCATGTACTGTCAAACAATTCGAATTTGTCTCTATTATGTCTTCCTCATTCTTTGCAATTTCCTTCTTGTTAAGTGGCCTCTTGCGAACCTGCATCAAGGTTAAACACCCAAACCTTATCAATGAACTTCAAGAAATGCTATTCACAGTTGGGAAAACTTTTAATTGATTTTATGATTTATGATGCTACGATGAAATTTAAATAAAGTCTATGCAAGAAAAGCCAAGTATTATGTTTATATAGTTTCTGGAAAAAATTCTTAAGGTTACTAGTTGTTGAATTAATATGTGGAAGAGAACATACCACAACTTTAATTTTTGCAACAGAACTAGATTTCTCTTTGTCTGCAGAAAAACTTTTGAGGAGATTGTTTTCCGCAACACGAGCTCGGCCAGTCTGTTTGCCAGAAATGTAAGGTTCAGAGTCATCAAAGCTTCTATCTTGGACAGGTCGATGCAAGGAAGTACTATCATATACATTGGATACTGGCATCTGCCACAATAAACAAAATATCAGCAAAACTCAGCGACGTTTTTTTTCACATGTGGCCAAACTAAAGGAGAGAATAGAAGATTAACCATCCTAGTTTTAAACCAAAAAATTAATTTACACAAGCAATTAAGGATTTAATTTCACGGTCATAATACAGAGGTTCAGAAATTCAAAAAAATCCTTTATTTTAACAAATTTAAAAAAATTTCATTTCAGAATATTTTGAGGCACAAGGAACTTTTTTTAAATGAGGCCTGAAACATTAATTCATGTTTTGCTTATGAATAGAATAGGTTTTCTCATTTGTGAAAACTGAACCCGCAATAACAAAACTTCAAAGGACGCAATCAATACATCAATACATGTGTCATAAGTCACTACACCCAGCTGGACAGTAAAAGCGTTATCACAAATCCAGTAGCAGCAAGCTCTCAAATGTGAACTCTATTCATAACCGAATTCCAGCAACTGGCACATGTACAATTATATAGTCCAGAAATCAAATCCATGTTGTTCATTAAATGTAAAGATACTAACTTCAGGAAGAAGCTCCGTGTCAAATGAATGCAGATCCAACAGCCCAGGGCTGAAATCACTGGGTGAATCTTCACCATTCTTTTTCGGACCAGAAGCCCGATAATTCCCTGGAGGTGTTGATGGCTCCATGTAATAATCGCTCGCACCATTGAAGCTCTTCTGTGCGTTCCTTAGCATTCTGTTTTCCTGCCCACCCCTTCCATAGAAGTTGTAGTCCTGTTCGCATTTCCAATATCAAGAAATATAGAAACGTTCCATAGACAAGATTGTCAGGATCATCCCCATGGTAGTCAGCTAAATAGAAAAGCCCCTCTTCCCTAGTTGATAACCAGTAGACAGTAATGCTTACATTCATATTACATTATAGGGAGAAAAGCATAAGAGCCAGTTTGTTATGTCCAATAAATAATCTGCCTAGTTGCGATGAACAACACCGGTTACATTATTAAGGTAAGGACACCCCCCCCCAAAAAAAAAATTTCCCAAGCATTTAGTGGAAACGGAAAAGATTAGCAGAAATAGAGAAATAATGTCGAAGATCAAAACCTGAAGTGGAGGAATGGGATTTCCGGAGGTTTGCAAGTGTTGAAGACCAGCCGATTGAAGCCACCTCCCATTGGACGAGTTATCCATGAAGTTATCGGAGTACTGACGCTGGTGATGCACTCCCGTCGCTGCAGATCTCAGCCCCTGTCTCCCAGCTCCGTTCATCTCCGTTCCTCCCTCTTCCTATCGCGGCCGCAGAACAAGATCAAACCTTTTACAGTATCCCCAGCTCCTAACCCTATTAAAGCCCAAAATCCAGCTCCAATCAGACCCGATCGGGAGCAACACAATGCCGCATCAAAAAGAAACAAGCAGACGCAGAAGGAATAGAAAGTAGAAGTACAGTACAGTGGTGGGTGTGGAGTGGAACCGAAGATATAGGCGGAAGTGTAATGAGGAATGAATGAAGGCTTTGAAATTTGGTTTGAAGAAAGAAGACGGTGGTGGTGGTGGGGAAGGGGGCGTGGTTTGGCACGTGCGACCGAGGCCGTGGGTCCCAATGCTTAATTTGAATTTGTCCTATCATCGTCGCCCACCGCTGCACATGGTGGGGTCAACGTTGGGTTTTCGGTCAATTCAGCTTTTATCGTTGCGCGCTTGGCTTCTCATTCAAATTCCTGACATCCCCGAGGCTGATGCCACGTGTCATGATCTAATACGGTCTTTCTTTTTTGGTTCATTTCAAAGGGAGCGCTTAACAGCGATATTTGCGACGTGATACCGTACTTGAGTTGGGAGAATTGGGCCACAGGCCCATGTTTTCCGGCCTTCATCTGTTTGAGAAAATAATTTGCTTAATTTATTACGGGACCAATTTTTCATTATTTTTCAATGTTGGAAAATACAAAGGCTTAAGAAAGAACGAAGCCCAATTAGTGGTGGGCTTGAAGTGTGATTTGAGCCTTACTTATATATAGACATGAGAGGAGCCCATATAATGAGAGGATAAAAGAAAAATTAATTTCTTTCAGGCAAAAGTTGACTCTAACGAAATGAGTTAGTTGGGTTAGATTTAAAATAAAAGACTAATCCTTCACAACATGACAAATTAAGATTAATCCTTGTTAGAAGAGGTATCCACATTTAATACCTATGCTTTAGGTAAAAAAAAAATTAACTCTAACAAAATGGGTTAGTTCATCACAATGTGATTAATCAAAATTCAAATCTGATATCTATATTTAATATTTGATAGCGTTTCAAATGGGATTGTCTCTAACAGAAAGATATCTATATTTAAAACCAAAAAAAAAAAAAGCCTTGCCTTTTTCTCCATTGTGGGTTCTCCTTCACCATCATATTGCACCACTGACTTTCACCTCCTTCTCCTCTTTTCTACCGACTTTTTTAGTTTCTTTTTCTTCTTCAACTTCCAATATTTGCTTTGCTCACTCCTTTGTTCCTTCCTTAGTTTCCACCATCTTTTCTTTTATCCTTCTCCAATGTCTTAGGATTTTGTTCTCCCGTGTCATGTTTTTGTCTCCATCCTCTTTTCTTCTCCTCTCCACTCTCAACCGCTTCTTCACTGATCTTGTTTTCTTTTTGCTAGTGGTTAGTCTTAATATGGGCTTCCTAACTTCTCTTAATCCCTTACTCCTTCTATTTGACAACTCTTTTTCCTCTGTTTTAATGGATAGTGCCATAGCTGCCTATCTCAATTGAGGCCACTCATGTTACTATCAATTCTAAGCTTTGATTTTTCTTTTTACATTTCAAGTTTATGGTTTCAATAGGTTTTCTCAATTTGTAGTTTTCACAATACATCCTCAAAAGCAGGGCTTTGCAATACGAATATTCACAAAGTTTGTTTTCGTGATTAAATTCATTCCTTGGGATATGATAATTCTCCCTCTGCTTGTAAGGTAGTTGGAGAAGGAATTTCTATTTTTTTTTTATGACATATAGTATTATATTAATTATTTATCATTTATTATTTTTATACAGATTTAAAGCAGCCCGTAACATTTTTAACCGATGTCTTTAATATAGACTAAAAATATTAAAAATATCTTGTAAATAGAGTAAAAAATTATTTTTAATAAGTCATAAAAGTCATTAATTAACATGAACTAATCCTTTTCCACCGATGATAACTAATTAATATGGGCTTTCATTCCGTTTCAACGCCCTTCAATAACATCGCAAATCTAAAATGATATGGTCAATCGAATGTTCACCAACTATCTCCAACTCAAAAGACCAATCAGGTGGGAAGATCAACAAATTGTACTCATATTAATAATTCCAACCCCAACAAACTAATATGCTTATCAAGTATAAATCTAATGAAGCACCTTCATCTTGGTCATTACCCAAAAGCAACCAAATCTATAATAGAACACATTCAGGCACTAAACCAACTAAACCATCAAAGGCCATTATTCTTTCATTCATATCAAATAATACCTTTCTTTATATATAACTGCTTTTATTTTATTTTTTTTGCCTATCTCACTTTTCATTCATTCAAAATTTGTTTTTGTTTTTAACCTTGGGCTTTAATTCATAGCCTCAACGACTGCAAATTTAACGGAAACAGCTTATTCTAAGTAATTTTAAATCGTACAAAATAAATATATAAGAAGAATTTAATCTTTTTTAAAATGTAAATTGTTAAACAAGCCTTTTTTTATAAAAAAAATAATTATTGACTCATGAAGTTTTTAAAAAAAAAGTTGGGGATTGACTAAATTAAAACTTTCAATCAAATTAGAACGGGAAAAGGGTAGTAGTAATTGTTTTTTGTTTAATCCCCAAGTTGACGGGGAATCATTTTGATTATTTCAATTTCAATGGCTGCTAAATTAGAGCGCTAATATTCTTCCACAACTGAAATCGAACTTTCTACATTGCTCCCGTCACCGATTACTCCAGCCTCGAAACCCCGTCGAAATTTCTGGAAACAGCCTCCTTTTCTACTCTGTTCCCTCCATAAATCAATCTAAGCCCCGAAAATTCTTCACCGTTATTTGCCTCTGGTTCACCGTTTTCATATTTATCAATTCTTGATTCTTGATCAGCGAGGCATTTTCACGAATACATCATCACCATGGCTGAAGATGGCACTGTTACGGTCTACAATAGCACTGTCATTACCGATCCGAATACGAATCCATTCTCGTTCAAAGCAGGAGTGGCTCAAATGCTTCGAGGAGGTGCTATTTTTGAAGTCTCAAGCATTCGACAAGCGAAAATTGCAGAAGAAGCCGGTGCGTGTGCTGTCACCGTTTCTGAGCTCAGTCGCCCAGGCATTTCGCGAATGATTGATCCGTCTCTTCTCAAAGAGATCAAGCGGGCTGTGTCGGTTCCCATAATTGCGAGGGCTAGGGTCGGGCATTTCGTGGAAGCCCAGATTCTAGAAGCTGTTGGCGTCGATTATGTCGATGAGAGCGAGTTGCTTGCTTTAGCAGATGACCAGAATTATATCAACAAGAACAATTTCCGGTGTCCATTTGTGTGTGGGTCTAGGAGTCTTGGAGAGGCATTGAGGAGGATCAGGGAAGGTGCTGCGATGTTAAGGACGCAAGGGGAATTATCAGGTTCTGGTAATATTGCTGAGACAGTGAGGAATGTGAGGTCTGTGATGGGGCAAATAAGGACTCTCACTAACATGGATGAGGACGAAGTTTTTGCATTCTCAAAGAAGATAGAGGCACCTTACGATCTAGTAGTGCAAATTAAGCAAATGGGCAGGCTTCCTGTCGTACACTTTGCTGCCGGAGGCATTGTAACTCCAGCGGATGCTGCTCTTATGATGCAACTGGGATGTGATGGTGTGTTTGTGGGATCAGAAATCTTCGATTGCTCAGATCCTTACAAGCGACTTAGGGGAATCATTCAGGCTGTTAGGCACTACAATGATCCTAATGTGTTGGTTGAAAGTTCCTGTGGCTTGGCTGAGGCCATGGCATGTCTCAATATTAGTGATGCCAGGATTGAGCAATTTGATTGCCCCACTCTCTAATCGAATAAACCGTTGGTATATTCATCATGTCTCACTTATAGTTGTATCAGTAAGGCCATTTATGTGGCTGAGCATATAGAACTTTTTCCTGTGACGGGAATAGAGTATGTAATTCTCCTATATCTCTTTCCTTCACTGCATATTGATTTGGGATGGTTTTACCATTTTCTCTGAATTAAAGAGATGAGTTGATTGTTGCCTTTTATGTGAAAATTCAGTTCATAGAAGGACCATATGTGTGATTGACGTTATATGTCTCATTTGTAGTAATAACAGAGGACATGCTTCATTTATATTAGTAATAGTTTTGCTCCACGTGATCTGAATATGGCTTTACCATTCATCGAGTTGCGCTGTATTGCCTTGGCGAATTGGAATAATTTGACTGGCTTCTATGTGTTTATCTCAGTGCAAGGAATATGCCTCAAGTTCTAAGAAACGTATCAGGCTGTTAACGGCATAATGGTTGACAGTGACGATGATATAAATTTCCAGTTGGATCTTTAGATGTGTGGTCTTCTTTACGAGGGCCTGATTTCTCTCTGGGTTTATTTTGTGATTACACGGGGGATATTTTGATCCTTTCAACAAAATGTTTACCAATTTACGGAAAAGTTCATAACCTCCTATCATTGTTTGAATCTGATTGCTGACGCTTCTAAGTTGTCATAAGTTGAATGAGTATTTAATTTGTATTCAGCTTCCTAGAAAAACAGATTTCAAGGGCATCTATTTGTAGCAAAACGAGAGATACAATCATTCATTGAGAGATGTCTGATTTAAGGGTGATGGGATGAACCTGTCTGTTTCTTAACATAGCGTCTGAAAGGGAAATTAAGATATATCGTCTGAATAAGAGATGCAGTACAAAAGACCATCTTCCTTGAATATTTCTAATTTGCTTATGAGTACTGCGAGCTTACAATTTGCCAACTTTGTATTAAACATCCTCTAACATGCATATGGCAAGTACACTAGGCAATAATTGTCAGATGTGAAATCTTACTTTTATCTGCTTCGTAGACACTTGTTTGATTGTTGTCTCATTGTCTTGTGTTCCTAGAAAAGGACGGATCTCCTAGGTTGTTATTGCTACTACTTCCATTATTTGACAGGCTTCTCATAGCAATTTCATAAGCAGCAAACACAGCACCATTCACTATAAAAGCTCTACCCACTGTAGTTCTCATCCCCCTCCACAAAACACTGTGTCCTTCTTCTTTGACACTTTTTTCCAGGCAATCAATAATGCTTGTGTATCTTTGTGAGGATTGTGTTTGAGCCTGGAGTCTTGTCTTTATAACATCAAAAGGGTAAGAGCCAATCCAACTTACTACCCCAGCTAATCCTCCTGCTATTAACATTGTACTCAAGCTTTCTTGACTGGTTTTCCTACAACCTGGGTGAAGTTGTTCCTTCATATACTCATATGTCCAGAAGTATACGCCATGACCAGGTGCATCCCTGAGGACAGTGATGCCTAATCCTCGGAATATTCCTCTAAGACCTTCCCCATTCCATATCTTCCTTGTGACTGATAAAGGGCCTTTATAGGATTCTGTTAATGGGCCCTTGCTCTGAAGCTGGAGGCGAATTTTGACCAGTTCTACTGGGGACACAATCGTGCTTTGTAATGCACCAGTTATGAATCCTGCTAGAGCAACGCTGTTGTAGGAAGGAGGGCTATTTGCTGAGACTGATGAGTCAAAGGCTCTAGAGAGAACCGCGTAAGTTTGAAAAATCATAGCATTCTGGAACCAAAAGAGAGAGGGAAAGAAAAAAACAAGAATGATCATTATGAGATAATGATATTTAGTTGCTGGTGAAGATTTGAAGACAAACAAAATAATCATTGTCATTCTTGTGTACTTGGAGGGGGATAATCCAACAAGATTTTATTTTCTACTGGGAACTAACATAGGTAATAAATATATTAGATACTCTTATTGAATCAACTCAATTTTGAGTTGTGGCGGCACTAGTATGTAGTTGTAATTAGTCCTTTCTCAAATGACAATGAAAGGCCAATGGCATCGACCTACCTTTGGTGAAATTTAGGAAAAACTATGTCGAAGGATCAAAATAGAGAGGAGAGAAAGAGGACCTGAAAAGTGATAGCAGCCAAAGGTGCAGCCATGCCTCTGTAGAGAGAAGCTGGGCCTTCCCTGGAAACCATATTTTTTATTAAGCTGAACACGGAAGTTGCCATATTTGAATTCTGTTGGTGGATTCGGAGGGTGTCGAGTGGATAACCAGATATCACTCCAGCCACACCCCCTACCCCTCCTGCCACAAATTCTCCGCTCCAACTGCTTCCTCTCTCAACATCAACCTTTGAGCCTGACATTACCCTTTTTAACTTGTCATACAAAATGCATCACAACTTCTGGCACATTCAAGCTCAAACGCCTTTCTTTTGTGTGCTTCTTTTCCAACTCAATTCTGCAAACTCATGTGATGGGATTCAGAGCTCAACATTTTTCTAGATTCTGGCGTTTGCTCTGCTATTCAAATCTTGCTTCTTTTTCGTTGGCTCCGCAGACCCAAAATTTAATACGATTGAAAGTTCAAAACTTCTTCTGGTTCTGGCTGTGTGTTCTGGTTCTTGCTTTGCAATTTAAATCATATGAAGCAGGACAGGCTAAAACGCCATTCTTTAGCCCAATTTTGTTCCTTCTTTTGTTTTGCTAGCCGGGCCGTAGTTGGATTCTGAGTTGGAAAATTGAGTTCTGGCTGTTACCAAATCCTTATCATCCCCACTTTCTAGGGAGAACCAAAGACGGATGACAAAGAAGAGAAGTATATTTCTGAATGATTGGCCGAAACAAAAGCGAACAAACGGCTCCTATTTCGTGGGCAATGTAGTGTGCTGAGAACGTGAAGAGAGCGAGAGGCCAGCATCCCCTTTCATGAGAGGTTGTCCGGGAGTCCAAATTCGTGCCTAGAACGTTTGCAACTTTGCATGCCTCGCCATGTAAGAAACAATGATAATACCATTTACCATAGTTTTTATGTGTTTCTCTTTTTAAAATCATGGGTCATGTCTACATGTATAATGCATTCAATCCTGGCTACTATGTTTTGATTAACGGAGCGTGAGAATGATAACCGAGCAGTAATATTAATTACGACAATAATTTTCAAGTCACAGAGATTTATTGTCGAGGAAGAATAGCCCGCCCGTTTTTTTGTTTTACCTTCATAGCCTGTCCATTCAAATACATAGAAAAGCAAAAATTAGCCGGGGTTGGATGTACCAAAAAGACTAGTTTCTCACAAAATTGTAAACTAAGATTCGAAATTCATATTTAGTACTTGATGATATCGCAAATATGATTATTCCTAGATAAGAATATCTGCGTCTAACCAAAAAAAAAAAAAAGTAAAAACTTTTCAGCAGTAAACCATTAACCACAAGTCCACAAGTCATATTATTAGCATTTTTACATTTTTATTCTATATATATTGTTTCCATTCTATTATCTGAATTTGTATAAGATTTTAATATCAAAATATATTCCAAACTGTTATTTAAAATCTATTTGGTGAATACCCTGTTCAAAGAGCTATTTATTGATAGAATACAATTACAATCTTTGTTGCTGACCTGACCTTAAGATTATTTGTCGTCGTATAATTTAGGCTAGTATTTATTCTTGGTATTGCATGAGAAGAAAATTCTAATTTTTATTGAAGCTAACGAAAATATTGTGTATCCAATCCGTCTCGGATCATTCCTGTTGATCTAAACTGCAAACTCGATGAAAAATCAAACAAAGAATGACGTTTTCGAGCAATCACCCTCAACTCCGTATCATAACAGTTCAGAAAAAAAATTATGATATGTTAGAAAAATTGTCATATTTCTCAAAATTAACTCACTTTTCTAACTTCCTTAATCTAATCAAATTAATTAAATAAACCTTATATTAAAGACAAAATGAATAGCTCAGATGAATGTGTAAATTTTTATCATAATGATTGTTCATTCCTGCTGCTCTTCTGAATTTGCAATTCAAAATGTTGAGAAACTTTCCCATGCCATTTTCAGAGGGAGACATGACATGTGGAGCTAAAAATTGATTAAACCCCCCTTTTGTCATTGAAGGTCGATCTCACCGACACACAATGTGGCCTTTTTCTCTGAAATTGGCAATTTGGCGGATGCAAGTCTTAAAGGGGAGATATATTCCTTAATTGTCACAATCCATGTCCATCCAACGTTGCCAAAGACATTTCACAACAATCAAGTAACAAGAAAGTCTTAGAGGAAAGCTGCAAACAAGCAATTTATTGCGCTCGTGACACAACGCAGTTAGGTTCCCAAATACAAGCAAGAAAGTATCCAGTGCACAGACCACATTAATCAGAGATTCTCTCAAAGCAACATATATATTTAGTTACAGCTCAATAACTATATGTCCCATTAAAGGGTAAGTCCTCATTTCTTTCCACTCTTCTTCAGCCCAGAACCTCCAAAGGCCCCCTTCTGTTGTGCCTTGGCTTTCAGCTCCCTTAGTGCCTGTTTCAAGCATTCAAAAGAAATACGTTTGAATTGGCACATTAACAATAAATCAATTTGTAAGTACAACATAAAAGATATGATATCGAACCTTTTCCTCTTCCTTTTTCTTCTGAATGTTAGCCAAATCGACCTGCAAAGTACAGATACCGATATAAAATCAAATGTAAGATCTCAAACATATTCAAACATTAATGCGATGGCTGTCTCTTGGCTTGTACAAATGCTGTTTGTTGGTGTCCGTAAATACATCAGGGCATGAAGACATGTTACAATTCAAGGATTTTCCAAAGTGATAAACGGACGAGTGAAAATACATAGCAGTTCTGAAAGTACATAGCAGTTCCCCGTGTGATGAATGAAGACCGTACCCCAGACCACCATCAAAAACTAAAAAGCACTAGAAATGAGATCACCAAGTAAATTTCCTATGACTATTTGCATGAAATTCCAGTTTTAGCCAATGAGATCAAAGTTCGCAAAACACTAGCAAGTATTGATCTTTCAGAATAAAGTGAGATTGAACAGCTTGGTCCCATTCCTCTTCCTTGCTTGACTGGTCTTAAGAGGCACCTTTTGTGATCCAAAAAAGATGCAAATTTAGATTGAACTCTCTTTGGTAAGAAGGAATGGGAAATAACGGTGAAAAACCATTAGTTGATATCCGATGGATTAATCAAGAAAAATTACATGTAGGAAACGCAAAGAAAGGAGAAGCAACATTAGCATGCCGTAGATGCTCGATACAGAGTAAAGAACGGAAGTCCTGGGAAAATTCTTTGATATTTGTACCAAATAAGGTTACATCAAGAACACCAGCTGCGAGTCTATAAAAATAGATCTAGACTTCACAATTAATAATTAACATATTAGTCATAGAATCTTAACTAACCCCAAACCAGACATCTTTATGCCATTTCTTTTAGACATCTTCGTTACTCTATGAAGGCGACGTATTACGAGCTGTCTATTCATTTTATCTATCACACAGGTCCACAAAAAAGGTTATCTTGACTTATAAATTTCTATTCTTTTAGCCATGCTGATCTAGAAACCGGAGTTTAAAAGGAGCAAAATCCCCGAAGGAGATCGGTGAGATACCTCGTCGTAGTCTTTCTGATCAGACTTGGGTTTCTTCAAAGGCTTGGCCTTTCCACCTACAAATCCAAATATTAATCAAAGGCAAAAGCAAAATCAAGGTTCCAGTTAACAGATCAAAACATGAGGGTTTCATAGATCGAAAGTTAGGGGAGAAGCTTAAGCTCAAAACATAAGAAAAATCAGACGAATCGGAGAATCAGGTTATTCCGATGACCAACATAGGAGAAGGAGATACCTTGCTTGGACGACATGGTTGCGATGTAGAGCTAGGGTTCGGTCCGAATCCAAAAGCGAGAAGAGCTCCCTTAACTTCAGCCTTGACCTTACCCCCTCCCAGGCTCCCACAGTTGCCTTTCGCGAATTTCTGTCGCTTATTATATTGTGCCAATAGCAAAAGGCGCAAGCAGCAGCCCACTTTTCGTTCATCAGCTACTAAAATACGAGTACTTGATTAGATTTTAAATAATTTTTTATTCATTTAAATGAGGTTTAAATTAAATTTATGAAATTTTTAAAAAAATATAAAAATTTAAATTTATTTATTTATTTATCTATTTAAGTCTTCAATTAACATATTATTTAATTATAATACTTTCTATTCAAATCTCAATTAAGATATTATTCAAATTCAAAATTAATTATTAGTTTATTCATTTAGGCCTCCAATTAAAATTTCATTTAATAATGATATTCCTTATTTAATTCAATATACCTAAAACAAAGTATTATTTAAATCCTATTAATTAAATATATTTAGATATTATAATGTCATACCCGATCAGTTTTTAAACAAATAGAATATTGCAAGCTTTCAAGAATATAGTTAATAGTATGAAAATAAATAAATAAATTTTATCCAAAAACATAAACAAGTAATTTTTTTTTGCCAACGAAATAAGTAAATAAATAAACGAATAGTAAAATGATTTAAATAAAAAGATTCTGTCCCTCAAAAATTATATTCATGCTTGAATATAAAAAGAAAACGTAATAGCAATTTAATAAAAAATGGGAATAATCTGTAACATGCCAGAAATCTGCAGTTAATTTTTAATTAGATGAGGCGTTGGGAACAGAATAACCAGCCACGTTAGTTATATGCTAACGACGATAGCAGGTGAGATGATAATGTTTTATTAAAAAAAAATGAGATAATAATTACTAAATTGATAGTCTTTTTATGAGATACCATAAATAAAAAAAGTTAGGGCAAAAATATACCTTTGCTTCTTTAAATTTACATAATGTTACAGTTTAACTCCTGAATGCTAAAAGGTATCTTTTTAATCTTTTAATCCTAATACCCTGAAGGTGGTCCAAAAAAAAAATCTCTAATACCCTGAAGTTTCATATAATTATTTTTTATAACGAACAATGATTTTTCAAACTGATACTTTGAATAAATATAAGAAAGGAGATTAGTCACACGTGGTCTCTTAATTTTATGGATAAATATTATAATAAGATTATATGGAGTGGGAATAAATACAAAGAGAGGGATTATGCCAAAAACCAAACCTTAAATAAAAAAGGTTTCTCTCTGCAGTATTTTCCTTTAAATGTTAAAAGCAAATGGTGAAATAGTTTATCAAACAGTGCTAACTGACATAAAAAAGGTCCAGCTCATTAAGTGAAAAAAAGAAGAAGAAAAGAATAAAGGATATAAAAACACACAGAATAGGTGTATATGATTATTAACGGAATACTAATAAATCATACAAACAATACATCGTTTGTTTGTTTTTTTTTTTTGAGTCTAAAAGCTCAGCTACATACTTATATAAGGTCTTCAAGCGAGAAAGCTGGAGAAAGAAAGCAAATGAAAACCAATGATCATTGCTCCCGATGGTGAAACCAATCTGCAACATGTACAGGTATAATTGATACTGTAAGCAATAATTATTACACATGAAAGTAAAAAGAGTTGAAATCTATATTTATGCTATAATATTGTATTTACCTTTCAGTAAGGTTTAAACTTTGATTGGAATTTGTGCTTTGCTGCAGGGTCATCCCATTCCAACTTGTCCCACCAATCTTGAGATCCATGGATATGTGTCAACTTATGTTTGGCAGAGTTGGAATCGAGTGGTAGCTTGTTCAACTTTTGACACCAGACTATCGTAATGGATCTGAGGGAAGGAAAAGGCAAGGGTGCCTTTTGAATGCTCTCAAGTATTGGTAAGTACTCCAAACGCAGTGTGACAATAGAAGAGAATACAGAAGAAGAAGAAGAAGAAGAATCCACATTCTCATTATTCTTTATTGAGTAGTCTTCATCATCTTCTTCTTCTTTTATCACTTCTTCCATTGACTGACACTTAGAAATCTCAAGTTCTTGAAGAAGTGGAGCATACTTGAGCCATGTCACATGAGTTAGTGAACAACAACTAATTGTCACTTTTCGGAGCTTGATTAGACAACCTGTATCAAAAACAAAAGAATATTGCTCTCTTCTAATCTCCAACAACACGAGATGAAATTCCCGTAGCTGCTTCATTTGTGATAAGAACGCAAATGATAAAGGCATCACATCATTCTCGTAGGAGAAGCCAATCTGAAGGCTGTATATGCAACTTTGCAGTTTGGCTGACTCCAATAATTTTTTCAGACCATCTTTACTTGTTATTCCTATGCATAATTCCCCAATACTTGGTAGGCACTCCAACTCTTCTAAAATACCTCTCTCTTTTGAATATTCTATGTTGAACAGTCTAACCACTCTTAATTGTTGAAGACTAGATAGCACTCCCAATGGAAAAGATTTCACATATGCATCCAAGCTAAGAAGCTTTAAATTTGTCAAGTACTGCAAGTTATTCACAAACTCTGCGTCGAAACTCTCATAAGTAAACACAGAAAGATATTCCAAAGAAACTAAACCCCCAATGTCGCCAAGTAATGGTCCTGTGACACGTATGTCCAAGACTTTCAATCTTTTCATGTGTTTAATATCTTCCAGATGTGTGACACCACTTCTATTCGATAAAACTACTGTTGTGGCATTTGGAGGATCTCGGATTTTTCCTAATTCCCAATTATTCATGATTGAAATTCTTTGCATAAATTTCATATTATCTTGATCACGTGCTATCCAAAGTGCCATGTCACGAATCATATCATGCATTTTAACTGTACGTAACATAAAAATATCATCTTTAACAGTTTCTAACAAGCACGAAAGCTTCAACTTTTCAATAATAGACTCACCATGACCATACATATCTTGCACACTCTCTGTCATATCTTTACAAAGAAATTTCTCCAACATCCATCTGTCGATGAGCTTGAGAACTCGAATTTCACAATCTTCCGGGTACAATGCACAATACAAGAAGCAACGCTTTTGCACCTCATCCAATCGGTCATAGCTAAATTTGAGGACGGAGAATACTTTCTTCTCCAAATCTGGTGCAGTTAGTGAAGAACTTGTTAAGTTCTTTATTGAATGTTCCCAAGCCTCCACACTCTTCACTCCAGCCATGGCACTTCCTACCACAATTAGCGCAAGTGGTAGCCTTCTACATTCTTTAGCCATCTTCTCTGCAAGCTTTGGAATACTAGGGTCTGACCTCAAAGTGTCCTCACCAACTTTCATGCAAAATAACTTTGTGGCTTCTTCCTCTGTCAAAGCTTCTACCTTGAATGTTCTTTTAGCTTGCATTTTTGCACACACATTTTCTGACCGAGTTGTGAATAACACTTTGGATTGACAATTAGTTTTCCCTGGACGTGGCACTCCTGCCAAGCTCAAGTCCATCTCATCCCACATGTCATCCAATAATAAGGCAAATTTCTTTTGGTTGAGGACCCTATAAATCTTTGCTGCTTTTTCAAGCTGATTACCACAGCGATTCCAAATGTCATCGCCAATCCCAACCAATTTTCTAATATTGTCCATGATACTATCCAAATTGGGCTCTTTTGACACCACAACCCACATCACAAAATCAAATTCTTGCCTCCTCTTCCCAAGTTCATTGTTAATTCTCTTTAACAAGGTAGTCTTTCCTACCCCGCCCATCCCATGTAAACCAATAATGCCAACATTCTCTTCTTCAATGCTCTTCCATACCTTATTAAACATCAAATCTAACCCCACTACTTCATCTTGAGGCATCTCAATTGGCTCGGGTGGTATTGTGTGAGCAATTTTAAGATTTTCGCCAAACCTTTTGCCCTCTGTTGCCAACTGATCTACCTTCTCTAGCATCTCAGCAGCTTTCTTTCCTAACCTGTAGCTTGACTTACAATGCTTCGGGCAATATTTACTTAGACATTTGTCTTTCATTTCTTTAGCTTCTTGAGCTTGAATAACTGTTATTTCCTGTGTTAGGCATGTATAAATTACAATCTTTGCATATTACTCACAGTCTTACATGCAAAAAATAAATATAATTTTACAAACTATAGATTATGAAATAAATCAATTTGTAAATTTGATTATTCTATTAATTGAACATATCTGTTTACGTAGTAATTAATTACAACATCATTTATCAACAGTCAAATAACATTATAAAACGATTTGTTCTATGCATATATTTTAATATATTCATATTGGTTAAAATAAATTTTTTTAAAAGAATTTACTAATTATATTATACAGATAACCAGTAAATATTAAATAAACTATTAAGATATAGATTAGAAATTTATTTTGAGCAGGGAACAAGTTTTAAATAAGATTAATTCTAAATTTCTAATATAGTTTTCAATTAAAACAAATATCCTTTTAGTTTTGTTTGAGGCTCTTAATATGTTAAACCAAAATGTATGTTTTGCAAATCAAAGTGGAATTTAGTAATTAAGGTAAAATGTAATGGTGGTAAGATTTATCACTCTAATAATAACTTTTATTACTTTCACCAAAAATACAAACATTTTTATGAATCATTAATTATAAAATAAATCAATTTGTAAATTTCATTATTCTATGAATTAAACATATCTATTTACTTAGTAATTAATTATTACATCATTGATCAACTGTCTATTTTATGTTCCTGAAAATATAAACACTGTCCCCTTTTTTTTGGGCGAAAATATAAGACACTGATTTTCCATTCATAAATTGGATATTGAAGCAACATCGTTCATTCCCAGGAAAAAAAAGGGGGGGGGGACTTAAGATGAACTATCATTATAAAATACGTAAAATATACTTGACTTCTCTTCAATTTTACTCAAATTATATAAATCTTCCCTCTAATTTTAAAATCTACGCTTTATTATCATTTGAAACACCATTAAAATATTCTATTAAAAATTCTAAAATAGAATTTTATTAATTGAGAATTATGTTAAAAATTTAAAATTCTTAATATATCCTCATAATCTAATTGTTTGCCCTCTCTCTCCAATTTAAATCATTTTAATTATAGATATAAAATATTTAAATAGTGTTTATAAAATATTATAGTAAAACTTATTAAAATATGGAGTAGAAAAGGAAAAAAAAATGAAAAATTTATTGACCAATTTTTGCTTCTTTTTTTTTAATTAAATTCCTACCTAATTTTTTTTGTTGCCCTAAAAGCTACCTCATTTGTTTTTGTACATACATGCCTGAAAGATTTGTTAGGGCAACATATGGATCTAAACATTAAAAAAATTAAAATTATTTTTTAAATACTATCTAAAAAATTTCTTTAAAAAAATTAAAATTTCAATAAATATTTAATTTTTTTGGTCAAAAAATAAATATTTAAGTTAGCTAGGGATGTCTTAGTCCAAATCTGGTGATTTAAAGATTGATTAATGTGGGTAAATGAAAATGAAATATTCAAATTAGAGAGGGTTTTTTGTGTCATGTGACTTTTAATTTAAGTAGAAGTTTGTGTAAAAATGCAGCCTTGTGATGTGGATACAGGGGGATTTTACATTTTCAAGTCTTTCAAAATCAATTTAATTTCCTTCCATTACTTTTTCCTGTTTCCTCTCTCTAATGACTAACGCCTATCCTGAACTTCCTAAATTTTTTAGTATATTCTACCTTCAGTCATAAATATAAAAGTTAATTAGAGATTCAATTTAGTCATTAATATAATATCTTAATCCACTTTGTTTCTCATATTTATTTATTATTTCCTAAAATAGTCTTCATGTTGCTTACACATAATAGGGAGTTTTATTCTAATGCACATGATTAATAAGGATATTTAAAAAAATAACATTCATCTATTATAAATAATTAACTTATTTAATTTTTTTAATATTTACAAACTAGTGATGTGACTTTTATATAAAGGGAATGAACGGTGATCATATAGTAAACACTTTAAAATTGAACTAAAAAAAAAATTTTAAAAGGAAATTAGCAACAGGTTGGATGGGCAGTACCTGTTGAAAGTTGTCAACTTTTGTTAGCCATCTATCGATTTCGTGGGTTCTTTGCATTTGTCCTGTGTTCTCAGCTTCATCAACTCTTGTCTTCAAATCCTCTTTCATGCTTCGAACATCTTCCCATTTATCTTTCAGTATCTCCAAATTGTTCTCCAATTTACGAATATAATCAGCTTCTTTCTTGGCACCAACACAAAAACACTTGGTAATGTCCCATATGATTCCCCCAGCTTCAGCCATATCTTCAAAACAATGCTAAGTAGTGGACATGTTAATTAGAGCAATTTCTTTTTCTGGAAAAAAAAAAACGCTATTTGTATTGTATGTGTTGTGCGTTTAACCTAAAAGTAAAAACAATAATTAATAAATAACACGAATCTTAACTAATTAACCCCAAACCAGACATCTTTCTACTTTTTGAAGGCTTGCCGTATTACGAACTATCTAATGCAAGTCCAACGAAAAAGTTGATTTGAAACACTAATTTCTATTCTTTTAGCCATGGTGATATAGAAACTAGAGTTTAAAGGCACCAAATTAAAATCTGAAAAGGAGATCGATGAGATACCTCAGTGTATTCTTTCTGATCAACCTTGGGCTTGTTCAAAGGCTTGGCTTTTCAGCCTACAAACCCAGACATTAATCATAGACGAAGACAAAGTTGAGGTTCTAGTTAACAGATCAAAACATGGGGGTTTCATAGATTGAAATATTGGGGAAGAGCTCAAGTTCAAAACATAAGAAGAACCAGTAGAAGAACCAGAGAATCAGAAGATTAATCTGCGTTGACCGAAATAGGAGAAAGTGCTACCTTACTAACTAGGACCAATCCTCTCTTCAGATCAAGTCAGCAGTCCAGATTCTAAACCATCGAGATTCCTGTGGCCAAACTTTATTCTGAGATGAGATTTTGAGGAAGACTCAACTGAGACTAAACTTGCGTCCCTCCATCTGTGATGATTAAAGGTCTACCTCAATTTTGGAAGGCGCGTCAAGCAAGTGGGCAACACGTGATGAGCACAATTAATTAATTAAATTTAATATAAATTAAGAAGAATCAATCATCAATCATCAGTCATCGTCGTCGATTAATCAATACTTCTCCGGTTTTATTTATATAAAAGAAAAAGAACTTTTTTTCTTATCTTATTCATAAGTTATTTCATTAAATTTTTATCATAAATATATTATATTGTTTTTTATTATAGTTATTTTTTAAAAAAAGTGTTCATATTAATGGAGAGTTAATGAAAAAAGATAAAGTTAAAAAATTATTATATTCTAATGAAGAGTTAATACAGTTTAAATTTTTTTTAATTTATATAAAATATGTTAAAAGTAATTTATAAATAAGATAAAAAAAATATATCATGTAAATCCTTTCCGGCAAGCTGGCTCAAATGTGGCTTAGGACACATGGTTTGCCTCGGGCTTTGTTTGGGCTGGTTTTAAATAATGTCATTCCTTGGGCTTCGCACGCAGCCTATTCATTTGCCAAGGAGCTCCCTGTCAATTTAAATTCAAATTTCAAAATTCTCGAGCCTCCCGCTGCCAACTCTGGTTTTGTACGTCTCCCATCACCGACCCCAGATGCTATTAATCTTTGGCCTGGCTTCTCTCCACTGCGGCTATGGTTCGTTGCCCTTCGCTACCTTTATACGGCACCGTTTGAAGCAAAATGACAAGGGAGCAAGAATAATAAAATAAAGGGCAGGGCACTTCGACAAATAGATAGAGACAAAGGCATTGGGTGAGAAACGAGGAAATGCCTAATCCCAGTTTGTGGATCTACCCACCCCAAAACATTTTTTCAAAAAAATCAGTTAAATATCTTTTTTTAGCTTTTTAATTAAACCAATATATAAGAAAATGAGCAAAATTATGGGGAAAAAAAACTATAAACCATCTGTTTTATCTGAAAACTCCAAACCATTTTTTTGCCAAAAAAACTCCAAACGATTTTGTTAATTAAAAATCACATCTGAAGACTTATTTTATTAATTCAAAAAAAAAAATTTTGGCTAAAAATTAACCAAAATATAAGAAAAGGAGAAAAATTAACCTTTATTTCACATCATTTTCTATTGTTAATATTACTTCCAATCCTTATAATATGAGAACTACATAATTAATTTATGAATATTGAAAAAATTAGTTAAGTTAGTTATTAATAATAAATAGGTGTTACCTTTTCTAAAATATATTTACTAATAATGTATATTGACTAGAAATACTATTTAATAAAATTTTTATTATATGCAACTACTAGAATGACTACTTTAAAAAAAATAGATAAATATGAGACATAAAATAGATCAGGATCTTATATTTAGAACAAAATTAAAATTTAAATTAGTTCTTATATTAAAGACTAAAGATAGTATATATATTTATATTTCTAAAGTTATTATCACTTTATGCCTTGACAATCACTTTATACTCTAAAGCCATGAATCGTTTGGCTAATATTTTTCGATAAAAATAAATTATTTTAAAAGAAAACGTTGAAAAAAATATAATATTTAAAAATTTTAATAATTTTTTTAAATTACTAAAATTTAAGTCTTTAGATGTCATTTTTCATTAACAAAAACGTTTAAAGTTTTCAGATAAAAAAGATAGGTTATAGTTTTTTTTTTAAAAAATAATTTTTCTCTTCTTCTTATATGTTTGTTCAATTAAAAATTGTTTTGTCAAATTTTTCTTGTTTGGATCAGCGGTAGCTCCGAAGTTATTTAGCTTCCAAACCTGCGCTAGGGCTGAAGCCATTTTTTTTTACTATCACGTTAGGTGCGCTGGTTTGCGTTGGGTTGCATAACTACTTTCCAGGTTTGTCCTCTTTTCTTCTCTCTGAATGAAGCCTCTCTCTCTCTGTTTTTTTTTTTGGTTGTGTTTTACGTTTTTCTAATTTGACTTTTTTAATTAGATTTTCTGTTACCTTTAATC